GTAAATCGGTTTCTCGCGACGTGTTACCCCTATATCTGATAGAAAATTGACGAGTTTTGATGAAAGATTTCTGCTTAAAAGTTGGTGTGTGATGCACCTCGGTTAGATAATGGTTGCAAGTAGCATTGTAAATGTATCCGGACGAAAGTCGGGAAGCGATATACGGAGATGCCTGCAGCAATGCAAGGTTGTAATCTGCCTGGACGAATATTTGCTGCAGGAGCTCGACAGGCAGACGTTCGATGGGGGCGAGGCCCATGTTGACTTGAGGATGTTGCGGCGGACTCGGTGGTACTAGTCGGAAGATGAAGACGAAGGTGGCCTTGGGGCATCTCAAGGGCCAAAGGAGGCCGAAAACAACACAGAGCTTATCTTGACAGATTTCACAATCCAGTGCGGTGTCAGGAGATAGGCGGTTAGTTAGGCCACCTGCCTCGGAGACGTGCCCGCGCCGCGTTACCCATTCGGGTATCCCCCTCATTACCCCACACTTCGCCCCACCCCACCCTCGGGTTCAGGGCATGCAACAACATCCAGACCAGCCGGCTTCCCAACGATGCTGGTCCTGTCATACAACTATTAGATACCGAAACATTGGTATACCGCGGATTTAGCCATGTGCCAACATTCCCATTGGCACCTCAGCGCGCCCTGGGCGTTTATTCTACACTAACACGATGGCTTGGTCCAGACTAATGACACTGATCGCGTTAGCATCATTGAAAGATCGCGCCTCCAACCTCCCAACTGCGGCTCAAATTTCAACAGCGATAGCGGGTGAGTGATTACATGAGAAAGATGAGATTGTAAATGGTACGGTTCTGGCACCCAACACCATTGTTACGAAACAGAGCCAAAGATAACTCAGCGTAGCCACAGCTGTTGCGTCCATCCAGCTTTTGATGCTTCCGCGGAGCCCAGACTGATAAGGGCGGAACATCTGACTGAGAATCTCCTTCCGGATGTCTCATCAGCCGGCCAATGTGCAAGGATCGAAATGTTCAGGGAATGCATGCTTGGCATACGAACGTAATTACGTGTCTTGGCTAGGCGATTGCGGTTCGGAAATAAGAAACCATGTTGTTTGCCGTCGTCATGAAGGAGCAAAACAAGCTTTCTTGCATTCTGACTTACGGTGACGATCTTCCGTCTCAACGCTTGTCGAGACAAGATTCTTATGTGGTATCAAGGAAATCACGCCATTGGCCAAGAAAATGTAACGGCGGGCATGGCGAGACCAAAGGCTAAAAATTTGACCTGGTTGGTCAACTCTATTAGTCCATTGGGTTGAAGCGGACTCTTTCTCGGCGTTAAAGTGGGCGTAGTCTGATGCCAACGTCAGCAATATCACAAAAGTCACCGCACCACGGATCGGGACATGACTGCATCTCGTTTGCTCCTCCGTGCGTTTTCAATCAATATCTATTGATAAATAACCTCATTTCTCTGGAGTTCGTGGTTAGCACAGAGCTACACCACAATGGCAGACTTCGATCCCAGTAACGTGTTCAATGTCAAAGGCATGGTGGCTGTCATCACGGGTGGAGGCACTGGTAAAGCTATCATTTTATCGACTGATTCACTGGACTGACCAACATGAAGGTCTCGGGCTGATGATGGCCCAAGCGCTAGAGGCCAACGGTGCAATTGTATACATCCTCGGACGACGAGAGGAGGTTTTGAAACAAGCAGCAGCTACGGCAGTAAGCTAAATCTCACATCATTCAATCTTGCAGCTTTCCCATACAAAATTTCTTTCACCGCTTTTGTTGTAAGAACATTCATACGGCTCACTACCCCTAAAAAGCAAAGTCAACCACAATTCCTAATTACTATTTCCAGAAACACGGCAATATCCACTACTTCAAAGCAGATGTGACTTCCAAAGCAGACCTGTCCGCGGCAGCAGACCATATCGGTGCGAAATCCGGTTACGTTAACCTTGTAATTGCAAACTCCGGCATCACTGGCCCAACACTCCATGGCCTAAACAAAGGCGCATCACTAGCTGAAACCCAGAAGTACCTTTGGAATTGGGACTCTGATGAGTTCAACCAGACATTCACCCTGAACACGACAGCTGCCTTCTTTACTGCTGTCGCGTTCCTCGATCTGCTGGATAAAGGCAACAAAGCTGGCAATATCGAGCAAAAGAGTCAGGTTGTCTTTGTGAGCAGTGCTGGCGCATTCAGTCGCATGCCCATGGCTGGTTATGCATATGCTGGGTCCAAAGCAGCGATTATACACATTATGAAGCAGCTCGCCACCAGTTTCGCACAACACGGTATTCGGTCCAACGCTCTTGCGCCTGGTTGTAAGTCTAAAATCTGCTTTGTTTGTTTTACCAGATTAGCCCGCGAATGCGACACAAATATGGAGATACTGTGATGTCTTGATGGTTACTGACACCACGCAGTATTCCCGAGCGAGATGTCTGCACCCATACTGGCGAAGCAAGAGGTCTGGCCAAGGGACTTCATCCCAGAGGAACGACCTGGAGACATCAAGGATATGGCGGGTGCTGTGCTGTTTCTCACAAGCAGAGCGGGCGCCTATGTCAATGGAACTGTCTTGCTCCAAGAGGGCGGTCGACTTAGTATCATCCCGGCTACGTACTGATGCGACCTTGAGACGGGATGAGAGCGACTAGTTGCTGTAATTTCACAGAATTAGAAAGCCTGCTCGCTGTTAACGAAAGCATTACAATTCAACTGCCTTGATGTGTTTGCTTGGTACAATTGGTGTGATGTCCCTTTAGTATGCAAGCAACAATATCGTACCATGTATGCTCATAGTATCTATAATCGGCCATAGGAAACAATATTATCGTTCAAGAAGATCTGAAGACTTTATGGTCATGTGTTCGTGTGCCCATGGGGTAAGTGAAACCTGGGGCTAGCACTAGTGCGACAGGCTTCCACGTCAGGACTGCCCCTTCGCCTCTTTAAACGTCTCATCCTCCCTCAGCTTATGACAGGTTCTTGAATGACCTGATCCTAATCCTCTATTTTCTAATTGGAAATCCTGCTATTCACCTTTCGCATGCAAACTGGCATTGCAGCTGTACGCCCTCGGCCACTTCCAGAGTACCCGTCGTTCTCGTGACACCCCAGATGACACACAAACCCAGCATGTGCAGCGCGGATCCGGGCGTCGGTGTCGCACAAAGCCCAACGGTCAGATTTGCGAGTCGAATTACATACAATGAATCTCACCAAACTCGCAAGGTTTGTTGAGCTTTCTGGCGCTTTCCAATAGTAGTGCCATTGGACTTCTCTGTTCTTGTGGCTCTTCTTGACCACCGCCTTCAGGGAAATTGGTACTGACAAAGCCACTGACAGAAAGCGTACTCCAGTTTACTGAATGAACCTGGCATTTGTTTTGCAAAAGAGAAGGGTAGACCTTGAATGCCTTGCGCCATGTTTATCACAATACCCTAAACAAACTGAGCGCGGGATGTTGAGGTCAAACCCGTGAATGGTGATGGGTCGATAGAAACAGGCAGAAGGGACTAAATTGGCTCTAGTATACGTCATAGAGGAGCACTAATGTGAGAAGTGAAAGCAAAGCGGAAAACTTTTCGCAAACGCAATCACCGTTTAACAAACCACCTTCACCACCAGTTATATACCAGATCTGGCCCCGCTCAGCTGACTCAGGCCAGATATTTCTCTTCGGCTATCTCTACTACCTTTTCAACACGTCAAACTAATCCTAAAGTACGGTCTCAACTTTCTCGAACAATCAACGTGGCGGGGGCTGCCAGCCATGGAGGCGACTGAGCATACACCTTCGTATATGGGTGGAGAGCCTGAATCCTTCAATGCAAAGGTCGAGATTTCTACTGGGGTCAAAGTCAAGACCTATATGCCACCATGCGGATGTGCCATCTGCCGGACACAGTACCGTTTGAGAGACGAGCAGAAATGGGACGAATTCTGTTACAGTGCAGCATTGAATGGCAAGGATGCCCAGGAATTACTTAACAAATACATACGACAGGCTTCAGATGACAAAGAGTATCTATGCGCAACTCTACAGCGATATGGAAATGCGATAGAAGCGTGGTGGAGAAGGCGAGGCTCGGCTGGTAGAAGAGCCTTCCTTGAGCAAATTGCGCCCGAGCTACCAAAGACGAAAGAGACACAGGCCGATTATCAATCCAGGAGGCATTCCCCAGTATATTCCATAGTTAGGGACTACAATGAGATGCTCCGAATCAAGAGGGGAGACCGGAGGAAGAACCGACAAGCTTTCCTCCTTCCGTATCTCAACACACCAACACTCGCGACCGAATGTGCTACGCTGCTTTCTATTCTCCATACTCGATCTCATGCACCACTGGAAGATTGGGTGCCCTTTGATAATTATCAGTTGACGCACAACTGGAATTGCGGCTATTTTGATGTGCAGTACAATCGCGGATGTGTGGTGCTATTTGGATCGGAGTACGGCAAGCTTAAGAGCTGGGACGGAGCACTCACTCACCGACAGGATGCTCTCGGCTTCCCACGCGCACAACTTCTTCTTGAAGCCCAATCAAAGCTCATGGGTATTCTAAGACAAATCTTGACAAAGGCGCTTGCGCGTATACCCGCGGACCCACCTCAAGGAGCCGAATCACTTCTTCACTGCATCACTGTAGCGCGCATGTCATCTAAAGATGGCTCTGCCTGGTCTAGCTACGTTCATCAAGCTACCTCGACGCCGCCAAAGCTAGATTTAGCAGTCCTGGCGTCCCACGTACGAACTCGACTTGAGGATCTTGGAGATCATCTTTGGTTACTTCAGACCGAACCTGCATACTTCCGCCGGTATCTTAGCCTAGTCAATCAGACAAATATGGCTCAAGAGCATAGAAAGTCCAACTGGCTTACGGATGTTTCGTTAGGCGAAATCCAGGCATTGTTTGAGCGCTATTGGTTCTGGCAAGGAGTCCTAGTTGAGATTGAACACACCAGTGCTTTGTTTTCCCGGTTCCGAGACCACATTGCACCAGGGTCCGATCTTCCCCAGAAGTTCGAAAGCGCTCTCGGTGCTCTAGAAGCAATCATAGATCAAGGAATCGATTTACGCGTTAGGCAACTCTCTTCTCTGCTACGAGAGCGGCCCGGCTTCTCTGACCTGTACGAACATGAGTACGATGCTGCCACTAATTCCTCGATAACACGTGTCAAAAGCTGTCCTGGGATGCCCAATCCGGTAACTGAATATAAGACACACCGACTCTGGTGGTGCCTCGGAAATCTTCTCGCAGAATATGAGAACCCTTCCCGATTTCCATACGCCATGCTCTTCGGTATTTTGGACGATCATTTACGTACTTCTAGTGCGAATGAGCGCAAAAAGATGGATGGAATCATGTATGAGAGGTTCACGGACTTTGCAACCATGATAAAACTTGCTGAAGCTCTGCGCTTCCATCGTCCCAGCTACGCTAAGCGCCAACCCGACGATTGCAAAGTCAAAGATGATCGGCTTGGCTGGAGGCGTATATGCCTGGCTAATAATAGGCCATATATTTCGTGGAGGGCCGCTAACGCCTTGCGAAATTTTCAAAAGACAAACCCACCCGCCGGGGGTAAGTGTGGAAAGTGGCTTCAAGCATACCAGGCCAATCATGATGCACTACAAAAGCTATGGGCGTCTGTCCATGCATACATTGAGGAATGGCACAAGCGATACCAGTTCAGGGTTGATGACACAAGGCTGTCTATGGAGGTACTGGAGTTTTGGAAGAGTCCAGAATACGCAGCGCGTCTCAAGGCAAAGTGCGAGAGTGTGTGTTCCGAAACCGAAAACCGGAAGAACATTTCTGACAACAATGTGTTCCTGCCTCTGCCCTCCACAACAGTCTCGGAACCAAAGATACATATCCAACAGGCGAAAACAAAGGTCAAGAAGCGGGGAGAGCCGCAACTTCGTGATCAGACAACACCAGAGCACCCCACCGAGATAAAGTGCGCATCCGATCCAATCCGAGTATCAAAGGGCAAACTTTCTGTTTTCCGAAGGATGTTCCCGGAAGCAGTCGAGGAACGAAGTGCTGAAGTGGAGTGGAGCACGTTTGTTCTTAGCATGAATGACGCCGGCTTTTCTTCCAAGAATAGCGGAGGTTCCATGGTCACCTTTGAGAGCAAATCAGGTCTGGGAAGCATCATTTTCCATCGTCCACATCCATCTTCGAAACTAGATTCAATCATGCTTCAGTCCATGGGCCGGCGTATGAACAAGTGGTTTGGTTGGAACCGGGAGACCTTTGCATTGATTGGTAAGGATATCGAGGCTGGAGTGGCATTGGAGGGCGCTTCAGTCGAGGCTTGAGTCTGGATTTATGACCAGATTGTAAGATTTGGATTAGTTACGGGAAGGATGGTGTAGTTTTCTTGGAATTTGGGGAGGATTGGATTCGGTCGCAGGTGCTGCAACATTCATGCAACAACAAAGGACTTGAAGATTTTGAAAACGACAGTGTACGACTGTAGATTAGCAGAATGGCAACTGTACTAGGTAGCAGTGAAATATTAATTTGATCAAAAGCTGGGCCATCCCTTGACTATTGCATCCCTTTAGCAACGCGACTTTTCAACATGTCATCTCATGCGTTTAACCTCATGAACTCACTATATGGAACCAAAATCATATTATCGGCACTTAAATACTATCGGAAGCACCCGTCAGCATGCCACGGGTCAATACTTCGGCCAAATTTAAAGTGCATACATTTAGCGTGATCCCCGCTGTTTAAAGTCCGCCGCTCAGAAGCGTGGAAAAAGCAAAGCTTCGCGAAAACGAAGATGATATCAATACCAAAACTGCAAACCACAGCGCTGGTGCTTTATGCGCACCTTTTGGGCGCCGCAAGGGGCGAGGCGAAGCTAATCTCAAACCGGGAGTACTTTTACGTCGGCGGCGAGTACACCAACATCACGGCAAGTTATGTGCAAAGATTGGTGTAGAAATAACTAATAATGGCTAGATTGGGAACACAACAGCACAATACATGATCAACCAAATCTACGTGGAAAAGCTCACACCCGCATCACCCACCAACAAACCACCGCTAGTTTTCATTGCCGGAAACGGCCAAACAGGCACCAACTTCCTCGAAACACCAGACGGCCGTCCAGGCTGGGCCTCTTTCTTCCTGTCTCATGGCTACACCGTGTACCTGAGCGACCAGCCGATGCGCGGGCGCTCAGCCTGGAATCCGTCGCTGGGCGCCATCAACATCGGCAGCACAGCACTCGTACAGCGCCTCTTCACCAACTTCCAAGCAACCGGGCAATGGCCCCAAGCAAAGCTCCACACGCAGTGGCCCGGAACCGGACAGCCTGGAGACGCCATCTTCGACAATTTCTACGCCACCCAAGTCCAGCGGCAAAGCGACGTGCAGCTCGTCGAAGCGCAAAACGCAAAGGCCTACTCAGCACTGCTGGACAAGATCGGCGAGCCCGCACACGTCGTTACGCACAGCCAGGCGGGAGCGTACGGCTGGCGCGCAGGCGACCTGCGACCGCATCTGACCAAAGGCATAGTAGCGCTTGAGCCCGCCGGCCCGCCGTTTGAAAACCGGGTTGCAAACACGGGGCCCACGCGGCCGTGGGGCATCACCGATCTCGAAATCACGTATGCGCCCTCGGCCGGCGCCAACGGCAGTCTACTGCAGAGAAGCAGGGTGCCGGCACAAGACGCCGACCACATCGACTGCGTGCTGCAGGCGGAGCCCGCTAAGAAACTGGTCAATCTGGCAAAGATACCCGTGCTGCTGGTTACCACCGAGGCGAGTTACCACGTCCCGTACGACTATTGCACCGTGGCGTATTTGAGACAGGCGGGCGTTGCGGTGGAGCATTTGAATTTACCTGACGTGGGCATTCGCGGGAATGGGCATATGTTTTTCATGGAGATGAATAGTGCGCGGATTGCGGAGAAGGTGTTGGAGTGGTTGGAGAGGCAGTGAGGGAGTAGAAAGTAGAAGGGGTTTAGGGTGGACGAATGATTGTTTGTGTCTTGATGCAATTACCGGGTTCTTTAGGCGTTGGCATCTTTCTGAGATGGTGATAAAGTCGCTAGAACTTGTCCTTAGTGTCTTCATGCCTCAGTCGCCAGAGTACCATGGCAACGTAGTGTCCATCACTACAATAAAATATACCAGCACTTGTTGTCTTCTTCCAAGTAACTCCCACTTTCTCCATTCTATGTACTCTTTAGCAAGTTGCTTCCGAGACTTCAAGCCCCAGCTTCACCGCCGCCATTATGCAGTGATACAATCCAGCCCTGCCAATCCGGTGAATGCAATTGATGTTAGCAAACAAGACTGTGAATCCATGTTTCACTGCAATATAACGTGAAAGGAAAACCCGTGACTCCACTCTGCCTTTACTGCTACTACCACTGTGAAGCACTCAGCTGAGAGATGTACAATCCTCCTGGTATAAAAGAGAGAGAGAGAGAGAAACTTCCCATTTACCTACCTACTTACTTATCTACTTACTTACTTGTCTACCTACCTACCATCAAGCCACCAACCAAGCATCCAATCCAAACCCAGATACCCATCCAAACCTAAATACCCAAACGCATACTCTATCTCCAACCCCACCAGTTCACCAGTCCAAACATCTCCCCTCACCCCACATCTGCCACATCACCTCTTCCCACATCACCTCTTCCCATCACCTCCACCTCCACCTCCACCTCCATCCCCATCCCCACCTCGAGCCCAGCCCAGTTCAGCCCAGCATGTGCGAAGTCTACTCTGTAGAATACAGCTGCGGCTGCATCGGGCTCAAGTACGTGTGGAAATGCAAGCCCAAGTGCGTGGGCTCGTCGCTGGTGCAATGGCCCGGCATCAAAGTGAAGAAAGCGCAGAAATGCGAGTTCCATGGCGGCGAGTATGATTCGGAGAATGAGTATGCCGAGGAGTATGTGAGGAAGTGAGGGGGGGGGGGGCGGGGATGGATTTGAGAGAGAGAGAGAGGGAAAGGAGGGATACGTGGGATGATAGTATAAGAGGATTGGGGATAACCGGAGTGTAGATTTGGGTGAAGTGGAAATTCCTCCAGAAGTGTCTTGGGGTGTTTTTTTTACATGAGATGCTTTTAAGGAGTGTTTTGTTGGGTGCCTAGGACGCACTGGTACTTATCTATAATGAAAACCTCATCTATCATATACAAGCGCTGGGTGCATTGTATTAGACATTGTCAGGTGGATGTGAAATACTAGACGACTACTTCGGCACGGATGAGTAAGTGAGTGGGAGTCGAATTGGCTAGCTCCTTGCAATCTCAGTGAGGTAAAGTAGGGTATAAAAGGTATCGCGCGACTGGTACTTTGAGTGTGTGCTTTACAACAGTACCATGGAGAAGCACCCTCACTTGGTGGCACAGGTGTATAGCAAACAGTGAGATTGACATTGGACTCAAGGTGAGACATGGAATCCCACAATGGAAATGATTGTTTGCTTGCTCACCGCTTGATTAGAGAGCAATCACGCACTGCTTGGGTAGGCAAACAAGTCAACATTCAAGGTATATCTCAGCACTTCCCCTTGGGAATCATTCTGAGATAACAACCATGTCTTCAGACACCATCCCCTCTGCTCCCGGTAAGTAGTGATTCGAAGGTATTACAGTCAAGACTAACATGGCACAGAAGGAAACGAGTACTATGAGATTCGAGAGGTGCCCGGAAAAGGCTATGGATGCTTCGCGCTAAAGGCCATTCCGCGTGGTACTCGTATCCTGGAGGACGAGCCACTGCTGATTGTGCCCATATGGAGATACCTACAATCGGACATTGAAAAGGCGGCTGCTGGGATGACGCCGGAACAGAGAAAACTCTACTTTTCTCTGCATTCGGGACACGGGCAGGATCCGAAGAAGTGGCCATCCAAGATCCACGACACGGTCCCAGCGATGGAGCGTCAGCGCATCCTAGAGCAGCACGCGGCTAGAGTTGGTAAGGAAGCAACATTGATTAGCATTTTCCAGATCAACTGCATGGAAATGGGCGATGGGGCGGCAGTGTTTGGCCATGCGTCGCGGTTCAACCACTGTTGCAATCCAAATGCCCTCTTCACGTGGAACGCAGCGATTCACAAAGAGACGATCCACACCATGAAGGACGTGGCTGCAGGCGAGGAGATTACGCTGTCGTACTGCGACATGACCCACGACAAGCCGTCGCGAACGTACGAGCTCAAGCACTACGGCTTCGTGTGCGACTGTCCGGCGTGTGCAGGAGACGAAAACGACGAGTCGAGTTTCGCAAACCAGAGTGCCGTGAGGCGCTTCAGGCTGCAGGAACTGGAACATGAGACGCGTTACTGGCGCGGTTCCCGGCTGCTCGAGGGGGCGCAAAAACCCGAGTTGGTCAATAGACTGCTTCAGATGGCGGCGCTGCACAACCTCGAAGGCGAATACAGTGCCCGGCTGGCTGCCGTGTAAGTAGCCATGAGCGTATCCCTGGCAGACAGTCATTGACGGCTAACGCGAATCAGGTACCTGGACATTGCCCTCGTGTGCGAGTGCAACAACGATCTTGTGATGGCTGAGAGAAGTGCCGTGAAGGCGGTACAGGTCAAAGAGGGCTGCCAGGGCAAGGATTTCCCCAACTATGCAAAGTATGCAGAGGCGCTGCATCGGATCAGGGCGAAGTTGGCTGCGCAGGCGGGCCAAGAGCGTGCCCAGGCATAGGGGGCGTCGGGCGTGAAGCAGAGACGGTGAAGCATGGCATGAGTGATTGGCTGTGTGGAATGCAGCGAGGCGGACGAGAACAAAGTAAATACAGTTGAGAAAGCGTATTGAGCAGACACGAGCGAGGCGTACGTAATGCACTAGGCGGTCTTTTGGCGTGCGTGGTGATGGTTGTCGCAGCGGGTGGCTGAGGGAATGGAGGCAGTGGCCAGAAATGGCGGGCCAGAGAGAACCCCGGAGAGGGTCCGTGCGCGGGACCCTGAGACACGTCAAGCCTCGGCGCATCGCAGCGGACAGCGGCGGGCCAAACCTGACGACCGCACATGCACATGCACAAGTTCTGCATCAACACCACGGGCCCAGCTGCAAAAAGCAAAAAAGAAAGAGGAAAAAGGAAAGCGAGGCGGCGCCGTGGGAGCATGCGGCGCTATCCCTGATCGCCCGCGCGACGGACACTCTGGCGGGAGCTAACAGCAGGTTTCAGGGAGCCGCTGACGTCGCTGCGTGTACCTGCAGCGAGCGTCTGGCGGCGTGTCGCACGCTGGGCGCTGTTTCGCCTCTTTTGTGCAAATCAACTCTCTCTCCATCGTGACACTCATCGACCAGGCGACTGCTTATTCACTCGACGGCGTATGCACCGAGCTTACTGTCAGCCGCTCTTCGTATCCCAGCGTGCTTCGCCACGCTTGCATCGGGCCTCCGTCCCAGCCCTCGACTTAGATACATACATATAGCTTCGGGCCAGCTCGTCTCCGAGCCACAGCCATTCCACCCCATACGTACACCATGGAAACCTCACGGAGCAAGGAAACCGCTCGCGTGCCCCCGCCCATCGTAACATCGGCACCGCCAGTCGCAATGCCGTCGCCGCCTCCCTCGCAATCGGGCCACGCAGGCGACGCCAAAGCCTCCATGGACATGGTGGACAACAACACGCCGCCCTTCTCGCCATCGAGCCAGACGCCCGTGCTGCAGCAGGAGCAGGAGGAGTTTGAGGGCACGCTCGACATCAACAACGACATACCCACCGAGCAGGACCTCAGCCAAGTGGCGGATATGCTGGTGCTCGATGCCGACGGCCAGAGCCGGCCCTTCAAGGAGCTCTACCAGGCGCCGCATGTTGCTTCGCGACAGCTCATCATCTTCATCCGGCATTTCTTCTGTGGAGTAGGTGTTTGGGCCCTGCCGGCAAGGACGCGGGTGAACTAACATGCGATAGAACTGCCAAGAATACCTACGCACGCTGGCCTCATCCATCACGCCCGACGACCTCCTCGCGCTCCCCACGCCGACCTTCATCACCGTCATTGGGTGCGGGCGGCCCGAGCTGATCCCCATGTACACGGAGACGACGGGCTGCCCGTTCCCCATCTACGCCGACCCAACCCGCAAGCTCTACGACCACCTGGGCATGACTCGCACGCTCAATCTTGGCGCTAAGCCCCAGTACATGCAGACCAACGTGCTCATCAACTCGGTGCAGTCGATATTCCAGGGCCTCAGCACAGGCAGGAAGGCGCTCAAGGGCGGCGACTTCAAGCAGGTCGGCGGCGAGTTCTTGTTCGAGAACGGCGAGTGTACGTGGGCGCACCGCATGAAGACGACGCGAGGCCACGCTGAGGTGTCGGAGATACGGAATCTGATTGGACTGGACAGCACAAAGCCGCCCATGCGGCGCAAGTGGAGCCATGAGGTCAAAGGGCCTGATAAAAACAAAAGAAGAACATTGAGCTGGGGAAGGCTCCGAAGCAAAAGCAAGGGCGGCAAAGACGTGTCGACAGATAGAGACAGCAGCAAGCAGACGACGCCAGACCGAATACTGGAAGAGCAGGGGCCGTAGCGCCAGCGAGTAGAGTATGTACTGTCATAGGCGTGGTTACACGGAGGGTATAGGCCGCTGGGTGGCAGGGAGTATGGCGTTTTCGACTCGGTGGTCGGGGTCAACAGGATGCAAGATACCAATTCAGCACAGTCTTTTTTGTTGATGCTTGTTCCAGGCCTACACGCGCTGGTATGCCGTTATTACTATGATTATTATCCGCATTCCCCGGCCATGGCGCAGCGCACACGTCTTTTACTCAAAGGCGTATATCTACACATGGCCCCCATCGCTAACATGCCCCCGAAGCGGCAAGCAATTCCGCCAGCCGACTGCCGGGCCCGCTGAGCAGAGCAGCTCTCCACATGCGGCCAAGATGCCCCGGCCATTGCCCCGGCCACTTGTCAGCAGCCGCGTCTGGACGGCCAGGCCTGAGACCATCTCCGAGCCAGCAACGAGTTTGAGCCTCACACGGCGCGAGTCTTGGGCGACGGCTACCGAACCGCGCCCGCGAATGAGGGGCACTATGACGCTATCGCCATGCTATCGCCAGCAACCCCACCTCTCCGAATAAAGGCTACCGGAGCCGCTCGAGCAGGCTGAAATCGCCTGAGCCCTCTTGTTCCCCTCTTTCGCTGCTGCTGCTATTTAACTGCCGCCTCTGCCGCTGCTGCTCAACCCCCCAAAACACCCATTGCACTCGCCCTCGATCCGCAATGTCCGCAGACACCGTTGGAAAGGTATGTCCCACCACGCTCAACCCCGCGCTCCCCTGCCGTGACGCGACGCGCCTCAAGGCTCCAGGCTGACTTTGACTTGAACAGACCATCACCTGCAAGGTACGTTTGGCTTCATATCCATCGCCCACAGACTGCCACTTCGCCATTCTCCCTCGCTCCCTCCAGCCAGCTTTCTGCCCCCAAACTGCGACGACGGTTGCAGCTCTTGGCGTGCGGGTCCGCAGTCAGCGCTGCAACGCGTGTAATCGTGCGGATGCTAGCGGACAGGAGGCTTCGGGTCTTGAAATCGGCACATGACGACACGAGCTGCTCCCAACAAGCCCACGAGCCGCCTCGCTGACGGAAAAACAGGCCGCTGTGGCCTGGGAAGCCGGCAAGGACCTCACCATTGAGGAGATCGAGGTCCTGCCGCCCCGCGCCCACGAAGTCCGCATCCAGATCTACTACACGGGTGTCTGCCACACTGGTATGTGGAACAAGTCTTTTCCCCCCACTGCTCCAACACCATCTAACGTGCACAGATGCCTACACACTCTCCGGCAAGGACCCCGAGGGCGCCTTCCCCATTGTCCTTGGCCACGAGGGTGCCGGCTACGTCGAGTCGGTCGGTGAGGGCGTTACCAACGTAAAGCCCGGTGACCACGTCGTCGCGCTCTAGTACGCTACGCTACCCCTCCCATGCATAACAACGCACCGCCTAACACGCCACAGCACCCCAGAATGCAAGGAATGCAAGTTCTGCAAGTCGGGCAAGACCAACCTCTGCGGAAAGATCCGTGCCACACAAGGAAAGGGTGTCATGCCCGACGGCACTTCGCGCTTCAGGTGCAAGGGCAAGGACCTCCTCCACTTCATGGGAACATCCACCTTCTCCCAGTACACCGTTGTCGCCGACATCTCCGTCGTTGCCATTACCGAGGATGCTCCCATGGACCGGACCTGCCTGCTCGGCTGCGGTATCACCACCGGTTACGGAGCTGCCGTCATCACTGCCGGCCGTGGCGGTGTCGAGGCCGGATCCAACGTTGCCATCTTTGGCGCTGGCTGTGTCGGTCTGTCCGTCATCCAGGGAGCTGCCAAGAACAAGGCTGGCAGGATTATTGTCGTTGATGTCAACGACGCCAAAGAGGAGTGGGCAAAGAAGTTTGGTGCTACCGACTTTGTCAACCCCACCAAGCTCGGCAGCCAGAGCATCCAGGAGAAGCTTATTGACATGACTGACGGCGGCTGCGACTACACCTTTGACTGCACAGGTAACGTCAGTGTGATGCGTGCCGCGCTCGAAGCTTGCCACAAGGGTTGGGGCGAGTCCATCATCATTGGTGTCGCCGCCGCTGGCCAAGAAATTTCTACCCGTCCCTTCCAGCTCGTCACTGGCCGTGTATGGAAAGGATGCGCTTTCGGTGGTGTCAAGGGTCGCAGCCAGCTGCCCGGCCTTGTGTCCGACTACCTGAAGGGTGACCTCAAGGTCGACGAGTTCATTACTCACCGACAGCCTCTTGACAAGATCAACCAGGCCTTTGGTGACATGAAGGCTGGCGACTGCATCCGCTGCGTCGTCAACATGCGCGAATGACTATCTCCGCCCCTCCAAGACCAAGCATTACCATCCAAGCTGTAATTGTTTGAGCGTTTATACCTTTTCCTTTGTTAATCCACGACACACGTGGCGCTGCTCAAGACTAGAGGGTGTGGTGCATGGCGAGGTGTTGGTGGGAGTTGATGAGAGCATGAGACGGCGTTGATGAAGCATGGTTGTGGGCCTGGAAGATGATTTAGCCGGGCTTCGTATATGTATGATGAAAAGTAATAAATGACTTTACTAGACTTGACGAGTTTTGCGGATATGTAAGAAGTCACGTGTGGTCTGAGCAGCGAGGGTATTAGCTAACTAGCAGCTTTTTTCTTAGCGTCCAACTCATGAAGAAACGAAAAGAATAATAGCTTGTGATATCATGTCAACCTTGTCCCTGCAACGCATGACATGGAGTGACATGGTATACTCTGGAAACCTCATAACTGCAGCAATTGAGAAGCAACATTTCACGAACTACTACTACGTCAAACACATCATCTAAAAATAAGTCAATCACAATTGCAAAACAATCACATCACCTGAATTCCAATTACAAGAAACACCACCTAACCCCAAGTATTCCAGTTAAGAATCCCATCCCATCACGTGCCGGCACGCCTCCCATCCGGCTTCTATTCTGACAGGCTTTGCGTTCCGCTGTACCCGCGACCCCACATGACCAACGCGCCAACACTCCCAACGCTCAAACTTCGCTAAGTACATGCACCAACCTGCGCTTGCGCATGCATTGTATTGCGAAGAAAGGTGGAAGAAAGAGGGGAATATAGTGTACCATGTAACATACTTTGCACTCTCAACCCTACGCATAGCATGCAACCCCGTCCAAAAAAAACAGGTTTCTACAAGTAAGTAGAGCGAAGACAAATAAGGAAGCTATATAAAGTATTCCACATCTTCAAACACCAACATATCACTTACACACACACACACACACACACACACATGTTTAGTGTAATACGTGTTAAATGCACAGTAGACAGGTACTGTAAAAAGAAAAAATTAAAATAAATGCACACATGTCACACAGAATGCGAAACGAAACCTGTCACGTCTACAGTATGTATGGCCTTGAACAACATCAACATCAACATCGACAGCAACATCGACAGCAACATTCATGATGATAGCAAGCCCCCCAACCCCTGATCTGCCTTCCGGATGAGACACGCCTTGATGCCTGAATATAATGCGCGCATCTTAAGTCTGTTACACGGGGGAGACCCATGAGGGTCTTACGTTGAGATCCAGATCCTGATCCTGGATCCTGAATCCTTGATCCTTTATTTTTTGATTTTTTTTTCGAAGGGGGGTCGATCGAGGTGGAGATGCGGGTGGAGATGGAGATGGCAAGGAGAAATGCAGATGCAGATGGAAAAATAAAAGCGTGTCATGAACGCGAGTCGCACGAGTCGCATCAACGCGCTTGGCATCTGCCAGCTATGCCCTAAGCCAAGCAACAGGAGTCTTGTGGGGGTCGTCGGGGGGTCGGGGGGGGGGCCTAAAGTAATGTGTGTGTAGGGATGCGATGCGATGCGGCAAAGCAGGGGGATCGGGGGGATCCCAAATCCCCCTTCCAACCCCCCCCCCCCGCTTCAACATTCCCTCCCCATGCAAAACCAAGGTTACACAGCTGATAATAACAAAAGAAAAATTGGATTACAGACTACATGAGGGTTTGGGGGCGGTTCAAAGCGAAAGATGTAGTTAGTTCGCGCGCAGTGACTGCGTTGCGATGCGTTGTGCAAGATAAAAAGTGGTTACGTACATCTACTTACTTGTGCCTAGTGCGGAGTCGATCAAGGATGGGGATACTTACGGACAGGGATGGCCACATATATGTTGAACCCACGTACTTAGTATGAGCGAGTCGTGCGGCGGGAGGGGGGGGGGAAAGCTTGGTTTGACTTCGTTTGCCTGGATGCCTGAGGCTGATGGGGATTATTTGGGTATGCAGGATAGAGGGTTGAGGGTGGTGGATGGAGGATGTGGGTGGGAAAAATATGAGTAGAGAACATGATGGTTGGATCGATGTATGTGCTGTTTGGGGGTTTAGTCGCGGAGATGCAGAAGGGGGGGATTGGATTGGACATGGGACTTTACTGCGTCTTTACTATGTGTATATATATATGTGTGTGTGTGTGTAATACAAAGGGACTAGAGATACACAGGAATACCTCTAAAATTTCTTGCTGTAGCACTGAATTAGCCATCACACCAAAGTCACCAGAGAAAAGTCACAGCAATAGATGAATCAAAGATTGAAATATGAATAGTTCATATATTTATACTATAAGCTAAAGCTATTCATAAGGAGTGTAATTAGAGCATCAGGTGTTCCCAAGACCCAAGACCAAAACTACAGACTAAATCAAAACACTAACACAAAACTACCCTTTGGTTCTAGATACAGAGAGAAGCACAGCTCTCGATCTGTTCAGGTACCAACTACATGCCCCGCTATTTCATCCTCCAGTGGTCGTTATATACAACGCTTTTTTCCATGTAAAAATGTTGTTCCTCCAACTATCCGTCATACATGATTTTTTGGTTGTCGTTATAGTGAGCCAATGTGCATCAGACAAGTCGAGTGAGCACCAGCTTAGTTGCGCTCGTCACCGATAAGGTCAACCTCCTCCTCCTGGTCGTCGTTGGTAAGAGCAGGCTGCTTGTTGTTCTTGGCCGCAGCACGCTTGCGGGCAGCAGCACCGGCGACACCAGAGGCAGGAGCGGCAGAGCCAGCTGTTCCACGAGTGGCACCAGTGGAAGCAGTTGAAGCACCGGCAACACCAGCGGCGGGGGCGACAGAGCCAGCGGTGCCAGCAGTGCCAGCAGCGGCGGGAGCAGCAGCGGCGCCAGCAGTGCCAGCGATGGCTCCAGTGGATGCACCATTGATCGTTGCGCCAGTGTTTGCTCCAGTGGTTGCTCCAGTGGCTGCTCCAGCAGTGCCGGCGGTGCCGGCGGTGCCAGCAGTACCAGCAGTACCAGCAGTACCAGCAGCGGCCGCAGGAGCAGCAGCGGCGCCAGCAGTGCCAGCAGTACCAGCAGTGCCAGCGGCGGCGGCGGCGGGAGCAGCAGCGGCAGCGCCAGCCATCTGAACAGGCACACAGCCACCGAAAGGTCCAGCACGAGCGGGGTTCTGGCAACGGACCATGCAGATGTTGGCCTGGCCAGCGACGGTACCAGTGCAAGCCATGCCAGCGGGCATCTGAGCAGTGAGGGGAAGATCCTGCATCTGAGTGTCCTTGTTGCGGCCACGGGCGTTACCAGCAAGGTTCTGGGTAACGGTCATGGGCTGCCAGTTGGTTCCAGTGGCAGTGGCGTCGACCATGCACTTGTAAGGACCGGCACCGTCAGAGTTGACTTGGTGGACAGTCATCATGACCATGCCACCGGCGGTGACCTGAGGAAGAGTAGGGCCGTTGAGCTGCATGACCTTTGCGGTACCGGCGGCGATGTCGTTGGCACCTCCACCGAGCGTCTCACCGCAGATGGCAGCGGCATCGCCACGGAAGCGAGTAGAGTCTTGCTGGAAGGGGTTGCGGCCAGTGCCGTCACGAGGAGTGTTGGGGTCGACACCGATGGCGGAACCGGCACCACCTGCGTTGCCAGTTGCGCCAATGATAGCACCGTGGCCAGCCACGAGGGAAGAAGAAGCCAAAAGGCTGAAGGAGACAATGGAGGCCTTGGAGAAGTACATTTTGAAGTTGTTGTGGGGATTGTCTGAACCGGTCAGAGAAGATTATATAAAATAGAGTGAAGGGGAATTAGGTAGAATGGGAAGAGTAGTGATTACTGTAGATTGTTGGTTGGGAACCTTTGATGCTGGATGCTCTTCTTTGGAGGGCGATGCAGGCAATCTTTATACAACTCTGGACAGCACCAGAGGTGCATCGATCTTGGTGTTCGACATGTCGAGGTGCATCGGCCTTGGTTGGTCCCGCTGCGATGAGGCACTCCCTGTTGGTCGAGACGTGAAGGGGTCCCCGGTGTGGGTTTCAAAACTGGAGTTAGGGTCCAGGAAACACCACCTGAGTTAACAGAAATGCTAATGACAAGATGACGAAACGTGGTTGAGGCATGAGTAGCCTCGAGAAACAAGTGTTGCAAGTCTTGGCCTGGGGACAGCGGCGCCTCGACAGCGGCGAGCTTAGGCCGCTTTCGCCAAACATGAGCCACTGAACATGTTTGTGATGGGCGATGAGACGTCTGACCAGAAGGCAGCGAGAGATTTGTCGCGTTAGTGTACGACGGCTCGCCCCAGGTGTCGTGAAATTACATGTCTGTCCGGTGTCCGGCCGCTGCGCTTCGGTTGGCCAGCGCCTACTTGGACACAGAAAGTGGTTAAGCATCTGTTAGTGCGAGAATTCAAAGCTTGGCAAGCTACCCAAATAGCTGTGCATGATATTGTGAAACAGAAAGCGGTGGCTGAGGCTGGAGTATTACGGCCGACTGTGATGGGCGCGCTGCACACAGGCAGTGAGCCTGGCCTCGACACTGGGGAGGCGGCTCTGGCGCTGTCAATCCAGCTGTATCGTCGAACAGTGGTAGAAGGAATCATTGAGGTTCTCTTCATGCTGCAAGCCACGTGTGTGGAATGCAGTCAGATGTCAACGAGCGGCATAAGCCTCAGTGGCTTGAGGCTGCGAGGATTAACCAGATTCCTCACCTGCGGACAGGCGCCGATCCAGGTTTCCAGCAAATAAGGTTCCCGACGTTTACAAATGGTGATGCACGGAATCATCCAGGTCGAGGTTTCGCAGTGTCCGTTTCGGGTGCAAGGTTCCGTTTAGTGTGGCATCGGCAGTTTCAAAGGCCACGGGACGAGATGTGGAGAAGTTTTCTGGCGCCGGCACAAGCACGATCCGACCTATACTCGCCGTTTGTGGCTGTTAGTGCGCGAGCGTTACCGGAAGCGTGTTTGTGAAGGAAGCAGTGTGAGGCAAAGTCGGTCGGTGAAGGGAGGATGAGACGCCGGCTTTAGTCACCCATCTTGGCAACCGCCAGCCTTGGCACCCGAGGCACCTGCGCCTGCACCGCCGCAACACCAGCCTGCTCGACGCCAGCGGAGACGTACGGAGAGACCGTGTCGCGGACAATCCCGCCTTCAATGCAAATGCCACGCAGCACCTACTCGCCAGCAGTAAGCTGACTGCATACATGCTGCCGCAAACCCGCCATACTTGGGCATCTTCGGGGCATTGACAGGTTTGGGACGCCCCGCACACAGCAGGGAGACGTAAAGGAACGAAACCGTATTATGCCGCGATTTTGGATTGGCAATTGGTGCAGCCTAGACAATGCGGAAAGAAAAGACTTCTTTCGCGATAGCTATGAATAGATCTGGAACGCGTTGTGTGCCCTCGTCCGCGTTGCTGACTACTGCACGAAGAAACCTTTCATAGCAACATTGCCTTGAAGACGATGAAGTAGATCTAAGTAGCACTAAGTATTGCAAATCAAGGAATCTTCGGGCGGCGCATGTCACGGCATGTCATCATGGCAAGCCCAGCCATCTATGTCACGATTGCCTTGTGCCAAAAGGTATCTGGCCGCACCCACACCCACTGCTATGTGCACTGTTAGCAAGCGCTATCCATCATCCAAGTACTCTAGACGTAAATGCTGCGAGCTTCAGGTCTGCAAGAGACACTTGAGCCAATCAGGCAGGTGGATGGCGGTCTTGGCAAATGACGTCACTCCCATCCTCGCTGCTTGCATGGCGTCTGCGATAAGATGGCACCGCCGTAGATATTATCAAGAACCATGACTACATCTGTTTGATCGGGATGGAAGCCGAATGCCGTTGAGATAGCTAGCCGTCACGAGATATGCAACACTGCATCTGCGAGAATTTCATAAACAGCGATTCTGGGCAATTGGTAAATTTCTGTTTCCACATCCTTGGCCACGTGCTAAACCCGGAATTCCAGTATGGTGACAACCAGATATTTAATTCTTGCGGCAATTGGCGGCCACGTCCTGTCAGCACTTAAAATGCCTTTCGATGCACGGGAAGCAACCATTGACTCGGTTCATCATGCGCTCTACTCTGGCCTGTCAACATGTCGAGAAGTCGTGTCTTCATTTATTGCAAATATCGAGGCAAATAATCACCGAACCAATGCTGTCATCACATTGAATCCAAAGGCCCTGGGAATTGCCGATGAACTAGACGAGCGGCTTTCGGCTGGCAATGCAACTGGGCCTCTGTTCTGCGTTCCGATACTGCTCAAGGATAATTACGACACTGTAGACATGCCTACTACCGGGGCAAGTCTAGCCTTGGCCCACTCTCAGCCCACCAAAGATGCACCGAGTGTGACGGCATTGAAAAATGCGGGTGCTATCATTCTCGGCAAGGCCAATTTGCACGAGCTGGCCCTCGAGGGTCTCAGTGTTTCTTCGCTCGGAGGCCAGACCATCAATCCCTATGACTCGACCCGGACGCCTGGAGGAAGCTCCGGAGGCACTGGGGCAGCAGTTGCCGCTTCTTTCTGTGTCCTGGGCACTGGCACAGACACAGTCAACTCGCTTCGCAGTCCAGCATCTGCCAATTCACTGTGCAGCATTCGGCCCACACGCGGTCTGATTACACGAACAGGCATCATTCCGATATCATCTACTCACGATGTCATTGGACCTATTGCGCGAACGATCAAAGATGTGGCAGTTTCACTCACAGTAATGGCCGAGGCCGGTTACGATGCATCCGACAACGCGACTGCGCTGGTTCCCAATGCCAATCGCAACATCGACTATGCCGCTTCTCTGTCCAACTTCCCTCTCAAAGGCCTACGCATCGGGGTACTAAACGGCTTGTTCAACCGTACCGACTCTCCAGAGGTCACTCCCGTCAATAATGCCATGGATTCTGTGATATCGCGACTATCAGCCGCAGGCGTAACCATAGTACCCATCGACGATGAAATCTACAATGCAACCGCCATCCAAGCATCCTGGGATGTCCAGCGCTACGAATTTCGCCAACTAATGGACGAGTACCTGCAGCGGCCCTCGCTCCAAGGCGAGCACCCCAACACACTGGCAGACCTATACTCGCGCAAAGCCGTCAATGGTTCAGGCGGAGAATTCCTCGTCATCCCAGCCGAGTACGAATACGTCAATACAGCCCTCGTCTCCTCGACAGCCAATGACACATACGACGCGCGCCAAGCCGGAATTCGCAACCTGACCTTGGCTCTTCTCAACACTTTTACGTCCAATTCCCTCGATGCACTCGTCTATCCCCAGCAGAAAAACCTCGTGGTGAAAATTGGCTCGCCCTCGCAGTCCGGGCGCAACGGCATCTTGGCCGCGCTAACGGGAACCCCCGTCGTCATGGTGCCAGCCGGCTTTTCCGAGCCAACCCACGAGGCGCCTGTTGGTGTTCCGATTGGAATGGAGATCCTCGGGAGGCCGTGGGAAGAACAGAAATTGCTGGGTATTGGGTATGCAGTTGAGCAGTTGTTGAAGGTGCGGAAGAGTCCCGTGTGGGCGAGAGATGCGGTCGAGGTGCCCACATACAACAGTGTACCTGTTATCACGCCTGACAAAGGGAATGTAGCTGATGTGTATCCTTTGGGAACATTGGAGTAATCATAGATTTATGGCAATTACATGTATGTGATACGTAGATCTAGGATTTTTTTCAAATCAGGTACTGTCAGCTCGTCCACCAGTATTCAAAATAAATATCACCTTTGATAAATAACATGGTTACCTCTCAACTCGTAGCATAATTCTACTTTTAGAAAATATCTATAATCAAAAAAACTTCTTTGACGTTTGTAACCGTGACAAAAAAAAGGTAGAAATTTTTTTTGTTCATTTTCTTATTTTTTAATATGACTAATATAGGAACATCAACAATAATAGAAATAAATCTACAGGACGACAATCGTACACTCTACATCTCAAACACATTCTAAACCCGCAATTTATCATCCCTTATTCCATATACCATATACCGAACTATCCCAAAAATCCGAATTATCCACTCCTCTCAAATTTTCTTTCCGCAACAACACACTCCATAATCGCCAACCACCAACCTACAATATGCACGCAGGTATTTCCATTCCAGCAGCACCCCCCTTTAAAAATCCAAATCTATCCATTCTAACACTAAAAAAAACCAAAATTGACATATTGAAGTACCAGCTTCCATCTAATCTCACTACAGATCAAGAGTCCAGAATGTGGAGAAAAAAAGAAAGAAATACACAATACCAAAGAAGAACAAAAAAAGAAGAAACACTCCCTGAAACACCTATTTCATAAAACCAAATATCGTAGAAAAGAAAAAGAAAAAGAAAAACATACCCAGAACAGCGGTAAGTCAAACCTAGGAGAAAACAACAAGCCTGGCCATACCGGGTACCCTGCAGAATGGAACATGTCTTGAATAAAATTTGGTAAAGCAATATAAGCGTCAACATGTCCTATAGGCAGGGAAGCACACAAGCGAGCTACATACGTATACTTAACTCTGGATTACGAATCATATCGTCGATCTGCCAAGTGTTATGTAATGAAAAAAAGGGCTAGGGGACATACCCTGCATGTGAGGTGAGTGAGTACGTGTAATAGATGAGGCGTACATGTCATAGGAACAAGAAGAAAAGGGGTGGTACGGTACGTATGTGGGAAAAAAGACATCTTCATGCATCCATGTGAAACTTCCCGGGAAAAGGGGAAGCGGGGTTGAATGATAGTAATACAGTCTATTCGTTATAAAAAAAACATGACGATGCAACGGAACAAGACCGGCTACGTGCATGTAGCCATTAGTAAGAATACCCGCATAATACCGTCGTTGTAAACGTATACCCTGACTGTCTTTCCGTAAAAACCCTCATCTTCCAAGCGCCTTTTACAAAGTCATCATGCCTTCCCCCACCTCTTTCCCCTTGGCGTTTTCGCTGTTGGCGCATGTCGTCAGCGTATACCGCTCTGACGCACTGCAGACGCAGCTCAAGGAACATCGAGATCCAGGGTTGATTGGTATCAAAAAGTGCCGAGTCCTCGTCCTTCCATCCAGGTACCAGGTCGTGGATCAGGACCAATGCGCGCGGATTGGTTTGCGCAGCCAAAAGGGCGCAATGGGAAGGGCGCATCGAATAGCACTGGGTGTATCGTCCGGCTGATCCCGGGATATAGCCCTGCTGCCCAATGCTGACGGGAAAAGTGTCGATCGCTCTGTCAGCCGTAGCCGCGTTGATTTGCCCGCGGCTGCCTTGAACGTATTGCATGTAGAGAGCAATGCGGTTACGAGTTTTGAAGTTCCACGGCGCCGTTTGTAGTTAACGCACGGGGGGTTGCGCCGTTTACCCGGCAGTAAACGCGAAACAGGTGCGTCGCGTCTGAGACTTGCGCATATGCTGTAGGCTTTTCAGTGTTTGAAAATCATCAATTCTTCAGTTGTTGTTCTGGCCTGATCTTAGTATTTTGCCGAGCATCCAGTGAGCGAATTGCAAGGCCGGCATAATCATGGCAGCAACCATACGGGATACGAAATCGTGCAGCCTCCACAATACCGTCTCTTGGAGCGCATCCACATCAAGATTCCTAGCTTGATCCATTTGGTCTTCAATCTGCCGTCGCAATCTAGCCGCTTTGCTGGGCAGCTCCAAGCCCAAGGCCAAGTACAAAGCGACGATGATCCATTCCATAATTACTTGCCTAGCTCAGTGTCAGCGCGTGCGCAGCGTTGCCTTGTAGGGATCGAAAAGGGGCATATACGTACATGCAGAGTTGGATCGTGACACTACCGCTAATCACGTTGAAGCGCATGTGTTGCCAGCCGTCGAAATCATTACTCTCCCAGCGCTCAAAGGCGAAACACATCATGTAAACAACGTCGACGACGAAAAAAGGCAGACTCAGCACAACCGTGGTAAGGATGCGGACCTCATCCCGGTCAGCAAGATAGAGACGGGCTGAGATGACAATGGTCGACCAGACGAGCACGACGAAACACACGACGTAGAGCAAAACTCCCGCCTTGGTCGATTCCGTGGCCGCAAAAGTGGGTCCGTCTCGCGAATCGGGATCGATGCCGCCGGCGACAATGAGAATGAAGGAAATAATGAGGGGAATGTGCAAGACGAGCAGAATCCACTGCATGCGGCGTCCCTTGGGGCGGGTGGTCGTGTTGAGCAGGCTGCTGGTGGACATGAAGAGCGGCGTCAGGCCCATGGTGGTCAGAATGGCGACGCCGCTCTCGAGGCTCGTGTTGGACGACTGGCCTATGGGGTACATGGTGGTGGCGGCCAAATCGAGCGAGACCTGGGTGAGGCGGCAGACGGAGAGGAGCGTGAGCCAGATCCAGGGCGAGCTGCGGCCGAGGCCCTGGCGGAAGATGAGCCATATGGAGACGACGAGGTAGACGAAGAAGATGATGAGGGTGGCGATGTTGACAATGGCCGGGTAGGTGATGAGGCCCGTGTCACTGCTGGAAGTGCCCATCGATTGCGAGACATTGGTGGTGAGGCCCGGGTGGGTGGTATGGAGCACGCCGATGGTGGTGATGGCGAGGGGGCGAGGTTGACGTGAAGAAGGATGGCAATGGGGTCAGCGTCTCGCTAGCTCCGCCGCCCGAGCGCTCCGCCTCGATGCCAAGCGCGTCGTCACGTGCCGGCGAGCTCAACCCTGCCCAGCCGTCTTGGGGCAATGCCACGTCTTTGGCTGCCTCTCTGCAGCGCTCCATGGGCAACACCTTGGTTTCTGCACCTTGGCCTTGGTAGTCGGTCCTTTGCCATGATTCATTGGCCTGGCGCCCACCCCGTACGCCGCGACGACACACAGCCATGCCGGCGTATTGCGGAAATGAGAGGCGGCCATCGCGCTGCCCATTGCCAATGAGGGCGCGCTGCTGCGCCAGCCAGGGCGGCACCGTGTCTTCCGCCATCCGCGTCGCTAGGGCTGTCATACAGTACTAACTTAGACATACAGTACACGATCAACACGCAGCCGCTGCTCGGCCGCCTCCAGCCATCGCGATAGAGCTGCTAGTTGCGCGATCCAGCCGCGCGTCACGTGCGCCGCCCATGCAGTCTCGCCAGCGCTGCGCTAGCCCGCCCAAAAAGACATCACACGCACTATCGGGTGATCGAGCAGCCTGCATCCAAGCGTCACAGCACGGTGGGGAAAGGTTTGGCATTGTGCAAGGCCAAGCGATCTCTTCCGATATTAGCCTTCAGCTGCGACAGGCCAACTCTCTCCCACCCACATGGGCCGGCGCCCGTGGGAGTGCAAAAATTCAGACAAGCCTTGTGATCGTCCACCCATGTGCGAGCCAAATGCGACGCTGAGAGCCCCCCTGCTTGCCTCATCCGTCGTGACATGTATATACTTCAAGCTAGCCGGAAGGTCGAGCCAGCCCATCCGTAAGCCCTAGTCAGCCGCCGCCCATGTCGTCTTGCCCAAAGAAAGGGTATCTTGCTGCTGGGATGTGGTTCGTGAAACTGTATGCTCCTCTCCACCCCCAAATCAATACTTCGCGGCGTGAAATTCCACGCAGATCCGTGCAGTTTTTCAGCTGAGAAGCCCATGCTCGCCATTGCATGTAAGAAGTCATTCCAGGGGACCTCGCCCGGCAGATCAGGATTCGACGGTGAGTGGAAGAGGGCCTTGAAAACCTTGTATGCCCGCTTATCAACTGCAAACGTCTCTGGGGTCTGCGTAGCTTCGTGAGGAATGGAGTCTGGCGTCCCAACTTCGGCTGCCCGGGTGATTTCTCCCCGAGTTTTGGACTTGGTAGTAGGCTGACCAGTGGCGCCACGGTCAAAGGTACCAGTGATTTGCTTTGAAGCATCATGATAAACACTGGAAAATGGCCTATAGACATATTCCACTTGAGGCTCGCTGGTCGCCTGTTTCTTCTTTTTCTCGAGCTCTACCCAGGGCGGCGTGCGCTGAATGGCACGATCGCCACCGAGCATGGACAAGACCATGTCATGGTGCGAGCTACCAACCCTAGACTTGTAATACTGGTCTACAGCTGCCCACAAGGTGTCCAGGTTCGCTTCAGATTTGCAGAGCAACTCGACGTTTTGCTTGTTGCGGCGGCGCTGAACAGGGTATTCAAATTTCCCATCAGTCGGATCGGCGTACTTGTAGACTTGGGAGCCTTCGAACTTGACGCTCATAATCTTTGGCCAGCCCTTGAAAACTGCATTGTACTGACTGCGAAGCTCTCTGTCCTTGAGCTCCATTCCGTCTTCGATCTTACGCGCCCACGGCTGGAAAAGATGGAGTTGATGGAGACATTCCGACACGACTGAAAGTGACGATAGGCGCTACGCAATCCATGACGTGATCAAAGCAGCCACTGCAGCATCTTTCCTGACCAGATGTTCAATTTCATCTGTCACTGTGTGTAGGCCGAATAACGAAACTTGCCGATCGTCGAATAGAATGTTAAATAGTGGCATTAGGTTGTTGACTGCGTGATCCTCACGCGGTGGGCGAAATGCCGAGCGAATCATAGTCGTATTTGGGTCCTGGGGTTCGCGCTCACAGAACAGGCGCATTGGTGGGGAGCCAAACAAATCCATCTTGAGACCATCGACTAAATCGATTCTTGCTGCATCCAATAAGAAACGGAGATTTTGGAAAGCGCCCAGAAAGGCACCAGGCAAGTCTTCTTCGGGCTTTAGTTTATCTTTGCATTTTTCGTAGCGGGAGGCAATGTTATTGACCTGTTTCAACACCTGATCAAAAGTTGCGAATCCAAAGTAGGCATCCATGACGACGGTGCCTAGTACGCGATTCCAAAAGAGGGGACGACCAGGCTCTCTCAGCGAAGGATGCTCTCGATCCGAAGTGTCCCACAACATCTCCTGTCGATGTTCAGAGCGCCGTTGCATTATATCTGCGAAATAGCTCGGATCCTCGCGCAATGCCCACAAATGATCCTCTCTCCAGTTGCGCTCTGCAGATGCCAGAGCTTTTAGGCGATCAAAATCCAAATGCGCAGGAATTCTATAGGGCGCCTCGAAAGAGATGACTTCCAGAGATGTGGTATCTCCATCCTGGGTGATCGGAGGTCCGGGGTTTGGGACAAGGTCAGACTCGGTCATGTCAGGTATGTCTTGGAGCAATATCCGACAAACCTTGACGAGAAAATCCCAGATACGTTCCTGGATCTCCAAAGCTTGCAATCCATGTCCAGGATGCATGCCGACTCCGTTAGTCATGTTCTCAAATGCGTCTTCTTCATCATCATCCCAAGACACGAGCTCCCCGTATGTCTCAGGTGTTGTTCGGTCGACGAAAAGCATCGTATACTCGTTCAAGAACCCAGGCATGGTTGCACCGCTCGTTTCTCCCAAACGAGCTTGTTCCAGGTCTGAATGTACAAACTCGTGTGGCTGATATCTCCCACGGTAGTGAAGCATCAGCAACAAGGACTTTGTCTTGGTGAGGTCCTCTAGGTTGATATATGGCCACATATATGCTTCACGCGAATTGGAATCCGGCTGCTGTCTCCATGCAGCAACGTCAGGGCGATGCTGTGAACACATGCTGGGCCATGCTTCTAACAGAATTTTCTTCTTTTGTGCGTTTGACTTTTTGCTCCAACGCTTCCTTATCGTCTCTTCGTGACGCTCAATGATTTTTTCTAGCACTTCATGGTTCTGGAAGATTTTGGCTGCACGTTCGCGAGCCTCTTTCTGAACACCCTCTGGAGTCAAGAAGGCAGAAGGCATAGGCACGTTTCCTGGTAGGTTTTGGAAGAAACTTGACATATCCATGCTGTCTTTAATGATTTATCTACCAGCAGAAGGTAAGAAAGGAACGAAGGAAACTGGGCTGCGAACTGGGGTGGTCTTTGGGGGTGTGCGTGCGACAAGAACGAGGAGGGGGAATGACAGTTGGGTTGGCACCGTTAGACTGTGGGGAAAGCCACGTGATCTCGCGAAAGCTCGGTCTTACGTACTAACACAAACACGTGGAGCAGTGGTGAAACTTAAATCGTGGGCATCCAATCGTTAGCTGAATTATCCGTCTCTTCAGTTTAAGGCAAATGATCCCCAATCGCGAATCCCTTGGAGTTTGGGATTGTAAAGTGAAGTCCGTCTCTATACATGACCTGGTCCATCTCTGGCGAGCCTTTTACCAGGACCTCATTAGCCTGGGCAATGATGTCGGTCAAGGAAGGCCTATCGGCTTGATTAAAGTTCACACACCGCCGCACTAAATCCTTGATGCGTTGGCTATATTTACTAGCAGCTCGACATCTTCTGCACCCTTCCGCGAGCACACCATGTTCGTCATGGGGCGCATTGTTGCGTTCACATTCGACAGCCACGGGGACTTGACTGCTAAACCGAGCGAAATAGGTGCTTTTATTTCCGCCATCGCAGCGGATCGGTCCATGATCGCCATAGCTGTTCGTAATCAGTGTCCATGCAATGTTACCGATGCCCCAAACATCTGTCTTCTCGCCCAGTTTGATTTGATAAGGAGGGGATTGTTGATGCATTTCCTAACGCAGTTAGCACGCGAATATCCCAAGTTGTTTCGGACACTTACGGGAGGATACCGGCCACAGACCGAGATGAGAAAGTCTTCTGGGTTGTCGGAAAGCGGGCAGCCATGACTCTCGGGGCTGAAGAAGGATATACCAAAGTCGGTAAGAATGGGAACAAATGGAGGCTCTTTGCCCCAGTTTGTATTCGAGCCATCCACGGCTTTGTCGCTACCACCCAGTTCTTGTGTATCTGCTTCATGAAATATGCCGAGAGGCTCATCAAGGGGCTCCTCTTTCAGTAGGGCAGTCGTATCCAGAAGGACATTAGTCGTTTGCAAGTCAAGATGAGTGATCGATCGCCATCCCTCCACTTCTCCACCTGACACCGTTCCCTTCTGTAAAACTAGGCAGGCAGTGGCCAGTGCTTTTAGCATATACCAGATGAAGCCTTCTGGGATAAACTGATTCTGGCTAGGATATTTCTTATACCAATTTCTGATATAGGGATAAACTGCGTGGTATATATCACCCCCAGCCTGGAAGTCGAGATATAGTCTGTAGCGTTTTAATCGCATCCATAATCGATGTCCACGACAGTGAATGAGATGGCGGCAAGAATCAGGCTCCACAATACGTCTCTCTTCCACAAGCTCGTGAATCCTGATCTCGCGAGGTAATCTATCTCGCCAGTTCCTCGGATCTCGCCACTGACTGTTTACAAAAGTGGTAGCTTCCTTGATTACCATTCTCTACAACACACGTAAGCTTCATATACCAGAGAGGTGTTAATCTAGAAAGAAGAAACCCCAAACTTACGTCTTGAATGTTGTTTGCGGCATCAGTTTGAACCCATAAGCCCGCGGCACCAAAAGCCCCACTCCCTAACATGAGGACACCGCGCCACTGAGACTCATCCCTTGATGGAGACATAAGTGGTTTGGTACCGAGCCAAGCATCTTTTGATGCTTTGTCTGTCTTGATAACCTCTGCGTCAAAGGGTGGTAGCCTGGGTTCAGGAGACCATGGAAGCCTTGGCCAAAAGTCATGCAGTTGGGAACTAACATATCGAGGTTCTGGAGCGGAAGTAGGGGCGGGGTCGGGTACTGGAGCTGGAGCAGGAATTGGAACCGGAACTGGCAGAAGTGTAGGTGCAGGTGGTGGTGCCAGCATAGGCAATGTTCCAGTCGCTTTCGCATAATGAACATGTGCGAGTGTATATGGCACTACTGGAATGGGGTTTGGGATCGGTAAGCCTGGGCTCAAGACTGTCCGCCCACCATGCGCGTCTAGTGTTCCGACATCATAATGATATTTGACAGCTGGGTGCCCAGCCCATATCGTGGAAACAGTGTGGTTTCGCTGCGCTGTGTCGCCGTTTAGTGACAAGACATCGAATCTTCATAATTGGCTACTTACCCGGTGTCCAGTTTCGATTAGCATTAATGTATGCAACAGCATCTGCTCGAAAGTAATTCCAAACGTTGCTATATGGAGGAGGCATGCTGTGTCGTCGCAGTGCAAAGATATGGCAGCAAAGATTGAATCCGAGCAAGAGAGATATGATTCTGTATGTCAAGATACGTCCGATGAATAAGATACGAGAAAAAAGAATAATAGGACAAAGGAAGCACGGTAATAATGCTTCAGGAAAGAAATGCCGCAAGCAGATGTAAAAGCATCTCAAACAAAGCAATCGTCCAGAACTTTGCGTGATCCGACAAACAATGAGCATCTCTATTTTTCGAAGATTAACAATGTATCTCAATCGTTAGGTCCAGGCTCTACATAGCCAAAGGCGTTTTCCAGCAACATAGTATTGCTGATGGTGAGATGAAAGAGGGTTTTGAATGCGACAAGGGGCAGCGGCGTCGTTCTCTTGCATTTCATCGATGTTTGTCATAGCGAAGATTATCTGCTGTGGGCAGTGTTAGTTATCCACCAACACAAGAGACTTGATGGAGGCTGGCACAACAGTTTGTTCCAAGTAGAGTGCAGATGTCGTGATGCGAGCAGAACGGAGGGTTGTGCCATCGTGCCATCGCCATCGCCGTCGATGCCAAGCAAACGCGATGGAACGTGCACGCCGATGCTCTGGCGATTTCCCCAAATAGCAAAAACACTCAACCGTCGATTACAGATGAGAAGTGCAACAATTCATCACCATGACCTTACCGCATTGGGAGAAGTGCAGGATGACGCAGAATACGCCTATCTGAACAGTCCGCTGTATGGTTAATCGCGATCGTCCAATCCGAAAATCACACGCCATTGTCCGCGCGTTTCGTGCAGGTCGACGCAAGGCCGCGTCAATAGGTGCCATGATCATTGCCTATTTTGCCTTGGTTGAGCAGCATCATACGACAATGACCAACCTCTTTCAGGGGAAACCTCGCAATGCGACATACTACTGGCTGACTGATGATTCAAGTCAGCGCATCGGCATGCGAAACGCGGCCACCGCACCTACACTCCAGCGAGTCTTTGTCCTGCCATGGCTCACGTTTCGCCATCCGCTGTCGCGGATTCATATCCGCGAAGGCGAGTTTTCCAGGAACCATGGCGGTTCCTTGTTCGGACCGTAAAACACTTATACGCTCGGTATGCTGCTTTTCATTTGGCCGATGCATGCCGTTTCTACACCGCGGCACTGGTTCGGATGACGAAGTATCTATGCACCTGGAAGTACGAGTGGTCTCTCGCTGTAGACTGTCATTCTGGTGGTCAGCAGCTGGCGGAATACGCCGGGTTCTCATTGTCATGAAGGCACATTTCGCTGCCACACGACTATATCAGAACATAGAAGACGCGAGTCGAGACCAATATATGCTTGCAACACGGGCTGCGCTTTTTCTATCTCTGTTCTGTTTGATACAGGCAGTGAGTAGTGAATAATCATTACCAGGCCCTCACTTCCTGTAAAAAGTACTCATGCGGTACTTTGTCTCACCTTCATACGGCCCAAGGTCGGCCAGCGCTTGCTCGCCTTCGCGTACGATGGCTTGACGGATCCTTTCGCTTCGTGGCTTGATGCTTACTTTGAAGACCTGCGGGCGCATATTCAAACCGTTGCTAGAAATCTGTCAGCTTTCTCCTATGGCAAAACGACAAGGAAGACTCACGTATAGTTGAAAATGTCAACAGGAATGGGCTTCCCATGCTCGTCCAGCGCTGGCTCGATCTTGAAGCCCCAAATCAGTCGTGCGACTGTCAACCATGTCCCTTGCTCCGCAAGTGCCTGACCCGAACATACTCGTCGTCCCCAGCCAAAAGTCATATAGCCACGCTCTCCGGGGAAAGGCCGCGACTCGGGATGGTCTTTCAGGAATCGATTTGGGTTAAAACGATCGGGATCTGGGAATTCGCGTTCGTTGTGGTGTATCGCCCATACGTTGCCTTGCACCCATGTCGACTGTGGGATGAGGTAGCCATTGTAGTAGTCGTCTTGGACTGGGGCATGAGGCTGGCCACCGATGATGGCTACTGAACGCCAACGAAACACCTCCTTGACAAAGGCACGAATATAAGGTAGGTTTGCGTCGTCTTCGAACGAAGGGCTTCGATCGGGTCCGACAACACGATCCAACTCTTCCCAGGCCGCATTGAGAGTTTCTGGAAATGCGCGCATCGCAAGCACAGCTGTGATGAGTGTGCTGCTCGAAGTATCAGATCCAGCACCAAACAGATTTCCAGCCAACGAGGATATTTCTTCTTTCCTCAGTCCATATTTTTCTTGTTCTCTGAACAGCATCTTGGCATAGCAATCATCATGCCCGGGCTTTTCATTAGCTTCACTTGCGAGCGAATAGAAGAAATCGTGGCCGCGATGCGACTTTTTCTTGGACCCCATTCCGTGTTTCCAAGGCGCATATTCGGTCGGCACGCGGGCTAGTGCGGGGAATGTCTCCATCAACATTGGAAACGTCTTGCCAGGTACATTGAGATCAGCCGCACGATGCATCAATGCAACGACTTCGGTGATGATGGGGTCATCTGAACTTGCAACGCGTCTTCCAAAACCAATAATGGACACCACGCTGGTTGCGTATCTCTCAAAGTGCGCGACGTATTGCTCAGGCGCACGAAGCAGGTCAAGAGCAACAACCTTGCTTTCGTCGTTCTGGAAGCCGCGGTATTTCTTCACCTGCTGGATACCGACGCCTTGATGTGTCAGCTTGCGCAAAGTTCGAAACCGCTCGCGTTGAGCCGGAGTTGTAGTGATCAGGTTAACGAGGTTGTTCTGGCCAGAGCCCAGTTCCGCGAAGACCAACATGCGTGGCCGCGAGCAGTATATTCCGGCTCTTTTCTCAAGCAGCTCGTTCGCTGCCCACGCATCGTTGATCCATACGGTGGGGTTTCGCCCAATCCAGTATGTTATCAGCGGAGAGTTGAATTTCTTCGACAGTTCCTCAAAGTAAATCCACGGCTTGTTGTCAGGCAACTGAAAGGTGTTTCCAACAATAGGGTACGGAAAGGGCCCAGGAGGCTTTTCCACATCAGCAAGAGTCGTCATACACTCCAATACAATGGTCTTACCATCTTCGATCTCATATACAGCATCCAGGCATAGTCTGCGAGGACACCGAGCGCGGCCGTCGCTAAGACCGCGAGGGCGAGATTACCAACACCAAACTTCGATATGCCATATTGAAGATAGTGAACTGGCAGCACCTCGAAAAGTTGTTCGATCGCCATGTTGCCAAGTGGAGTGCGATCCTTTTGTCAGGGCGTACAGACGAAGTTGCTCAAATCCTTGGGTTGCCGTTCATCGCAAAGCAAAGATTTGGCAAAGTACTCGACAACCCATCATTTCAATACCGGCTTGCAGACCTACTGCGGTCACATCAGACTAAACACATTCTTAGTGTGGCTGCTTTCGGCGACTTGCTGGCACAAGGTGGGCAACCCCACATCACGAAGGTGGGGCATGGACACCGGGTAAAGTTTGAAACTTGTTGTGCATGCACCTGTAACGATGTTACAACTTCGCCAAGTATTGAGCCAATCCCAGAGCCGGATCGGAGGAAGTACCTGCCGCCCTTCATCAGCCATTCGCCCGAGGTCGGATCCGAATTCGGACCCGACTAGGATAGGTATATATTGAGACACTCCCTGTAGCTAGCTCTGTAGACTTTTGATATCCTTTCGTACAAGGCCTATAGGTGGCTTGTTGAATCTAGGCTCTTTGTGATCCCACGCACTCCCATATGCCTCTGAGTGATCCTACGACCGAAACAGATCCGACCTGCCTTACCTGCGCCGTTACAGCACCCCCTCAACAAATTAAGTAGCAGGAGTCTATACCGTAACCTACTACTATAACACAGCACAACATTAGAATTCTATAATTTTTTTTAATATATAGAATCTTTGTAGTACTTAGAGTAATAGAACACTTAAAAGATTTCTAAAATATAGACTTTTTGCTCTGTTATGGCGTTGTGATGGATAGAAAAAGCACAGACCACTGCCATTTTTTTTGTCGAGGGGGTGCATGTCGTGTAGGTGTACCCGAAGGCAAGAATCCTCCAGATATTCTTCATTGGCTCATACACGTATCTAGGGTATATATGCCATGGCCAATAGGGGTCGTGTTCAAGATGGTCGGTTAGCTGGCTCCTATTGGATAAGTAGAAGCGCGACGCGACAACGTGGCGCTGCTCATAATACGCTAGACTTGGCTACCCGTTTTGATCATTGCGTTTCCATGAATGCTTCATGCACCTGGTACTTACATAATTAGCAGTCATCAAAATTTGCACTACATATGTTCGATCAAGGGGCGCACCAGCGACGACAGCAATAGAGTTTGCACTTTAGCGCCGATATCGAATCAACGTACAACGGTCGCTGGAACGCAAAGTGGCCTCAAGTAAGCTATAGCGGAATTTTTTCATCAAAGTTTGTAGAAGCTTCCCCTGGAATAGCCAATGATAAGTTCCGTTCTGGTCCACTAGTAGCTCTTCTCAGTGTCACGTCTTAAGTCAGAACCATGGTCACACTTTACCCCTCAAAGTACGTGGCTCGCGATGCGCACACTGTGAAAATATGAATCGCTGATGCTCGCACATCTGCAATTTGCAAGTGAGTCACAGCGGCACCACGACTCGCTTGGCCGCGGCATGGCTTCGGAAATGGTGATGCTTGTATGCGCTCCCGAGGAAAGAAAGAATGACATCGTACACGGCCGCAAGCTCGAGGAACTGCCTGGCGAAATACTCGGTATGATTGCTGAGTTCTTAACAAGGCCACAACTGCGCATGCTTCGGGGATTAGGCAGCAGACGTATTACGCAACACATAGACCACGTCTTTGTAATTACAATGGAATCCAGCTCAACAGGAGCACCTACTGACAGTTTTGTATAGGCTGAAGCTCACTTCAGATACCACCTCTGTCAAGTTACCAATCCCAGCAACGAGCGCCTCAGAAAACTTAGCCTTTCTCGCTTTGTCAAGTACGTGCACACGATCGAGATACGCCCGGAGCTTCACTGTCGATTGGACCGAGTCTCGGAAAAACCCCCGGTATACAGGCTTCCTTGTATAACTAGATTGATCGAGGTGGAGAAATTTCTTATCATCATCGACTCCATCCTGCTAGGGGCACCGAGACTCTCCAGACTTACTATTAGGGCGCCCAAAGGTCTCAGTGGAATGGATGACGAATACTTGATACCGGAACCCCGGTCTTCGGATATTGGTCCATCGCGAAACGTCGCGTTTCGTCGGGATTCTAGTGGAATACAAGATCATGGTCATGTTATCGATGCACCCTCCTTATCTCATCTCGTCTCCGAAATGGTCCGGCGTGGGCTGATCATGGTGCCGCATCTCCAGGAACTCCGTGTCCTTGGCTTTGCAAATACAGAATGGCAATCATTATTAGCATCGGCCGAGATGACACTGTGTGAACTGGCACTTCAGCCATCTGCCTACAACTTAACGACTATAGACTTGCAGTTGGAAATGTCCACTCGTGGCCCTAATAACTGCCTATCAAGCCTCGTAGAAGTCACCAAGAGGACTATCAAACTCAAAGTCTTGCGAATCCGCTCAGGTCCAAAAGCTCTCAGTCAATACCGTATTCCCACCGAGTATTGGGCACCTTTGCTTAAACAACTTGGTGAGAGGAAACCACCGTTCAAGCTACACACGCTCGACCTTGACGGGCTCGCTACAAGCAAAGTGGCGCCAACCCTGGACCGCATCGTTGCTGCTCACTCCTGTTCTCTCCGTCGTCTTGTCCTCGGGCACACCAACTTTCACTACCCGAATACTCTCTACGCATTCTTCTCCGCTCTGGCAAAGTCAGACGTGAGTTACTTCGAACTAAGCTGGTTATTTCTTCATCATAAGAGTTTGCTTGTGGCAAGCAGTCTGTCTTTCGCCCAGGTTCCGGACGAAGTCCTAAAGATGGGGGTTAAGGATCTAAGATCTGATTGCGATATGTCTAACTATGACTGGATCGTCATCCGCTGGGACGTCGACCGCCATGACGCGGCCGTGGTGTATGACAATGAGGATGGCTTTTACGGGCAGGATTGGATCAAGAGGTGTTGCCAGAACGCCCTCACTTCGATAGAATGTGGGGCCATTGATGACTCTTGAACTAGAGGTCATTGTTTTGCTCGATGCCATTGGAGTAGCTGCAGCGGAACTTGCATTTCTTCTTCTTCCAGATGGGTACTCATGGATAGTGACATGCGACGTCACACTTCCTACTTTGTACTCCATTATTTCTGATTACCGCAAGAACACAGAAACATACATCAAGCCGGATCATGAATCCGAGTCTAAAACAAAAGAAAAACTTTTTGACTATATCCAGACATCCCTGCAAGCAGAGTAACGTGTCCATGGATGCCTGCGCATATAACCCGCCCCCAGAACGGGTAAAAGCGCCCGTTAGCGGGCCCCACATCTCTGTACATGAAGCCGCAAGGTCGACCTTGTTTTCGCCTTTGCATTCATCCTCGTCAGCATTTGTCGCATGCAGAATGCAATGGTACGTATTCAAGCCCTGCCACTTCCCCGCAGTGGCCAAACCAATCATTTACTAAGGATTCATCACCCGCTTCCTCGCGATTGCTGGCACGCGCACATCACTGACTCAGCTTCTGCAGTGAGAGTTTCACGGCATTATCATTCCGCCCACAGGAATTTCATGTCCTGTTATTTTGATGGCATTGGTTGTTTTGACGGAAGACCTCTTGCTACAATTATAGTGGGTCCCTCCACCAGTTCTAAGTTGGGGAAATCCTGGAATTCCGTCATGTAGATGAGCGCGGATGGGAACCCCTTCTGCAATACTCCTACAAAACTCGTTTCAGGTGGTTGTCTCAGAGTTTGGGAAATCATGAACTGCACTTTTCTGCCTCTAAAGACGCGCATTTCCGGGTTAATCATACTTCAGAATAGAGGAGAAGAGAAGACCAAACATGCAATCAACTCAGTGACCTAGGCCGTCCCGAGTGGCTAAATCTCCTCCACAATCCGATACTTGATTCACTCTGAGGGTTGTGTCACAATGAGCTGAGCTTTACAAGCCACTATCGGCAGATATTGCACCAGGATTAGAGAGAAGGGTAAAGATCTGCATGTGAATTTGGAGAAACGAACGCTCGGCTATGCTCACAAAGAGCGATGATATCTCGAGAGAGGGAATCCAGCTGACAGCTCATTTCCCTTTGACTCGGAACCTTTGGCAGGACGAAAATTACATTTGTCTGTTCCTGGGACCCCCACGCCTTTCACATCTTCGTGAAAGCCATCCATCAAACAGCAACCAACATGCCCGACCTTACTAGTGGCCTACTCTCCAATTGGAAATGCCTTTCAGCATGCACACTGGTCTCGATGTCGCCATTCCAGTATGGCATTGATTTTGGCGCCATCGGTGGACTTCAAGCCATGAGGGGCTTTCTCGAAGTCTTCGGACATCCTGATCCTACAAGCCCAACCGGCTACAACATCTCGACTAGTCGCCAACAGCTCATCTCCTCTTTGATGACCTTGGGCGCGTTCCTAAGCTCGTCATGTGCAGGAGTGCTGGCAACGAAGCTCGGAAGACGACAATGTCTATGGCTAGCTAGCGCCCTATGCTGTGTCAGTAACATCGTCATGATGACCACTACGAACATTGCGGGGCTTTATATCGGTAGGCTGTTGATTGGTATTGCGAATGGCTGGTACATGACATTCTCGCAGCTGTACATCCAGGTAAGCATATGAATATCAAATCCACTTGCCATTGGCATCACACTTACTATCTGGCAAGGAATCTGCACCAGCGCGCTATCGTGGTCTCATGATCTCTGTCTTCCAAATCTGGACATCTATAGGATCCCTCATCGGCACTGTGATTGATAACGCGACACACGACATGGATGGCCGCAACGCGTACATCATCCCACTAGGCACCATCTTCATCGTCCCGTTTCTCATGTCCATCGGACTTTTCTTCATTCCAGAGTCCCCGCGATGGCTAATCCTGGTCGAAAAACAACAAGCGGCGAAAAAAGCCTTGCTTTGGATGCGCCCGCATCCAGAAAGCGTACCAGAAGAGGTTGCGGAGATTCAGGCAGCCATCGATGCGGAGAAAGCTGTCAAGGCCAGTGCAAATTTCATGGATATCTGGAGAGACCCGGTCGATCGCCGACGTACTTTGCTGGCTATTGGAGCGGTAACGACTCAAGCTGCTTCTGGTGCCATGTTCATAATTGCATATGGAACGTACTTCTTCCAGGTAAAAAAAGCAGCCATTCACTTTGCATGAGCACTGAACTGACTTCGACATAGATTGCAAAAGTCGGTAGCCCGTTCATGAACACATGCATCTTGACTGCTGTTGGCGTCTTCGCAATCACAGTCAATAGCTGCGTGATCTCCAAGATCGGACGGCGCCGCGTCTTCCTCATGACTGGGCTTTCAATCTGTGGCGTCACTCAGCTCATCATCGCCGCTGTATACCACGTCAACCCTGGTACAACTGGTACCGGAAAGGTATGTGTCCCTCGACGTCAGGACTTGCACTCGGCGCTGACACTGCCAAGGCCATTGTCGGATTATCAGTGATCTACATTATTGGTTACAATGGCATGATAGCAGCTTATGCTTGGCTCACTGGTGGAGAAGTTCCATCACAGCGCTTGCGTTCGTATACATTTGGTATCGCATCTGCAGTTGGGTTTGCGGGTGCTTGGCTTTGCACCTTCACGGCCCCTTACTTTATCAACCCTGACTCTCTTAACTGGGGCCCAGAATACGGTATGTCAACCTCTTCATGCATTTCAAAACTCTGGAATATTTGCCTTTTGCTGAGATTGATGCTGACACCTCTGACAGGCTGGATCTGGGGACCTTCTTGCTTCATCACCGTCGTATGGGTATGTCATTACCAACGCGCAGTACTTTCTCCATGTATCATGAGACATATCGCTGACATCACCCAGGTTTACTTCTACCTTCCTGAGATCAAGAATCGTACACTGGAGGAGATTGATGAGATGTTTGAAGCTAGACTACCTGCTCGCAAGTTTAGAAAATATGTCTGCACTGGTCATTATATACCTGGTGCAAGTGAGAAAGGCGAGCGACACGACAGCGAGAAGGATGAAGTGGTACAACAGGAGTTTATGGGTGTTGATAAGAGTGGCTGAGATGCATTTTGAAGTTTGTGGAAAAAGAGGTTGCAAGACTGGGCTTTGGACTGTGTAGTTGCGCGATCCTACCTTTGAATATTAAAAGAATGCCTCGGAAGGGTCATGAGTGTTGTGTAAATCAAATCCCTTGGTTGAATGGTGGTATGCTTAGTTACACGCTACATTACACCTGGAATACGATGCGTACCGCACAACAAGATGTCAAATGTGAACGAACATCAGAGAGATGTCTTCATAAACTCGTATCTACTCTACACTCCAACAGATCCAGCCTTCTTGATCGCTTCATCCCCCACCTCTTCCGCATGCTTCTGCGCATCATGCAGGAATATCCAGTCTTCCCTCGGAAACTGGATAAGCGTCGGATCTTTCTTCACCTCTTCCCAATCCGTTTTATGCCACCTATCTCTCGTTGTCTCTCCCGTTTTCTGCACCGCCTTCACACGCTCATATCGCACATCTTGGTACGCTCTTAGCGCAGCCTTCACATTTTCTTTGCCCGCTTTCCTCAGGAGTACTGCAATCGTAACAGCGTCTTCCAACGCTTGCGTCGCGCCTTGTGCACTCGTCGGTAAGAACGGATGCGCGGCGTCTCCTAAGAGACAGATGCGACCATGTCCTGGCGCAGAGCCATAGCCAGAGACCCAGTTGGGCAAGGGGTCTCGGTACACGAGCTTCCAATCCACCAGTTTCTCTTCTGGTGTCTTTGAAACGATTTTCCAGCACATGGGGTCCCAGCCTTCGAGGACGGTGCGCACGTCGTTGAGGTAGCCAGGGAATGACCACGACTCGTCTATGTCGTGGGAGTCGCGGTGCGTGAGGACCCAGCAACAGTCACTGCCGTTTTTTATGGTGCTGAACAGGAAGTGAACGTCTGGGCCTGGTCTTGGATTAGATGACGCAAAAGATTTTGTGCATAGACTGATTGGGGGAGGGACGACGTACCGATCCAGCCGTTGAATGTATCACCATTGTCGCAGAAATGCTTTGTTTCCGGATCGGCAATCATGTCTTTGTTGGGGAACCACGCTCTCCAAACTGCATATCCGCTGCTTTTTGGCCTGTCTTCATATCCAAGCACCAGTGTTCTGGCTTTGCTTCTCACGCCATCGCTTGCGACTACGACGTCACCAGTCACCTTGGTACCGTCCTCAAGAACAATACCTGCTTCGTTGTCGTTCTCCCAGTACTGCTCGACTCTATGGCCCAGATTGATTTCGACACCAATTTCCCGGGCGTAGTCAAAGACAATCTCGTGCAGCTCGCCCCTATGCCCGTTGAAGTTGGGTGCTGTCTCGTCGCGCGGCGGGGTCTTTTGGTTGAGTACTATTTCCCCAGTATCCCACTTGTGGATGTTGAAGCCATAATTTGTCAAGTCGATGGATACCTTGCGCATCTCACGCGCAATGCGACCGCCGCTCCAGCGTGCGAAGATACGGCCAGCGTTAGGCCCAGATGTGATTATGTCGCCGAGTATCTTGAGCTCCGGAAAGGATTCGTAGATAACGGGTGTGTGACCATGTCGAATGCATTCGATTGCCGTGGAGAGACCACCGAACCCTGATCGACTTCATTAGAAAGCGGCGTTGCTGCGAGTTTGTCCTAGCAACTTACCTGCGCCAATGATTATGACCTTTATGCCTGTCCTTGGAGCTGCGTCATTGCCATTTATCTCTAGGGAAGACATCTCGGGTAGTTTGGTTTCGTCTATCTTTGCACGAAGCGGCATACGTAATGACGGGAAAATCTCACACCCACGATGCAAGAGTTACACAACACGTAGATTAATCAACAGAAAGTACACGAATGCAAGAAAGACAAAATTCCAGGCCATTTTTCTGAGCCTCGGCAGCGTGGGGCAAACGTTACCCTCCATCTCCTGAATGGCTATCAGCCCACGCGTCAAGTTGTTGCCTCCATCCAGGCGATATGCATCCGATGATCTTAGTGCGCATATGTGTACTGCAGGTTCGCTCACGGCATATTGATTCCGTGGCAAAAAGCCTAAAAAAGGGTTTGGTCACGCTAATGAAAGTGTGGATAAGAATATAGACAGGGGTGATTGCGGTGGTTGGAGATCACAGCATGCCCGCGCCCCACATCTTCACTGGTTCCCCGCAGTCTTACTTACCCCGCAAGCATCATTCATTCTGCAGTTGGCCTAATTCCGTTTGATTCGTGTTTTCGCATTAGAGCGAAATAAACTAAGCTGTTGTAGGCGAGACTGTAAGTGAAGTGATAAGGGCGAAGGAGTTTTCGCTAGGGAAGCTTGGTTGCGTAGGAAAGGTGCGGGACAGTGCTGACTTCATACTTACAGACCAGGTGTCAGCAGAGAAACATACTGTCGATATTGTATCTTCTAAAGTGCCAATAGTTATCCAGTAGCTCTAGCACTTAAGCGATAATCATTATGGCGACTTTGACACATCCGGAATGGAATCAAGAAACTGGAGGGTTGGAGGTTGCAAAAGCGTTTGCTGACAAGATTCGTGGAAAGAATGGTACTTTTCCCTAACAGTGCATTCGAAGCTTTGACTGAATCATACATAGTGCTCATTACCGGCGTATCTCCCGAAAGTATTGGTTCTGCAATCGCCCTTGCCATTGCTTCTCAAGCACCCGCCCTCTTGATACTCGCCTCGCGCACCGAATCTAAGCTCGAGGAAGTACGCAAGACGATTCAAGATGCCTACCCTGAAGTCGTGACCAAGATCGTGATCCTAGACTTGATGTCCCAAGACTCCGTGAGAACAGCTGCGACAAGCATCTCACAGTTGACGGATCGTTTGGACCTCATGATCAATAACGCGGCCTTGATGACCCAGAACCGCGAGACCTCCAAGGAAGGCATCGAAGGCCAGTTTGCTATCTGCCATATTGGCCACTTTCTGCTCACCAACCTTCTCTTGCCCCAGCTGCTGAAGTCCGCTGCATCGTCTACTCTAGGAGCAACACGCGTTGTCAATCTCACATCACTTGGCCACCGTCTGAGTCCTGTACGCTTCTCAGACTACAATCTAGAGAAAAGCAACGATGAGGTGCCAGAAGAGGAGCGACACCCGCCACTGCCTTCCATATTTGCCCAGGCTGTTGGATCCACCAAATACAATGGTATGATAGCATATGGGCAGGCGAAAACTGCAAACATTTTGTTCTCTGTGGGTATAAATGAGAAGCTTGGGAGCAAGGGAGTTAGAAGTTATGCTGTTCACCCCGGATGTAAGTGTTCTGGCCATGAAATATCCGAACCTCGTATTGAGATTTGCAGCAATATGGACTGGCCTCGGTCGCAATCTGGATCAAAAGGCCATAGATGCAATTGGAAAGACAAGTGCTTTTTGGAAGAACCATGATCAAGGTGCTGCAACCGTATTGGTCGCAGCGCTGGATCCAGCTTTGGACGGTGCGTAGAGTCTTGACGTGTTTTAAAGAGGCGCTAGATGCTAACTTCAACCAGATCCAAAAGGTATCTTGCTCCACGACTGCCAAATGTGCGACGCAATGCCGTTTGCCACTAATGTAAAATTTGCCGAAAAGTTGTGGACTTTGAGCGAGAAGCTTGTGCGAACAAATTTCAAATTATGATTTTACAGCGGGATCTGCTTTAAGCAGGTGTTATTCTCATGCCATGGCATAGATAGTGGCTCTCAAGTTCTTTAAGTACTTCAGGGGTTTTGTCGAATGTGAAGTGATGTTTTTATTTTTCGTTTCATAGAACTCGCATACCTTACTGTTGACTCCAAACCTGACAAGGACTTTTACTGTATTCAAGCTAACATTACAGTCGCTAGAGTGCTGAAGTTTGTTGTATACATCTGTCGAAATTTATAACGTCACGCTTCGGTGCGTATCTTCAATAAGTATGTCATAGTAGGCAATCCTCATCCTAAAATTTGAAGATGCGTTGCGCACTTGGAAAGTATTCTTGCTTCTTTCTTGGAGACGTCCGGCTTCCTTTGTTTACTATCCCAAGAGCTCTTTGTCAATATCATCAGGTTTGGGGAGTTTGAAAGGAGCTACTATCTGCATTGTGTTGTTGCCCTTTGTCTGATAGCATGATATCTTTTGCGAACGCTGTACACAAGACTACTTTCGTTCATCTTCGCATAATTCCAAATACATGCTCTTGCCCAAGTGACTAGTAGAAAGAATACACTTGAGTTAACGCCATGGTCAAGGGCCCACCTTACTCCGATGGATTACCATACCTCAAGCGCTCGTTTGAAAGATGGTGTTCTACCAATCGTCCTGCATGGACGCCAAGTTAGTGTCATTTTCAAATCAACAAGATCATAGCTTACTCCCGACAGGTGAAATCAAATGGACTGCTATAACGTTATGGCACGGCGTGCCCGAAATTCAAACCGAGTATCGACGCAAGGTTGGAAAGAAGTTTACATATCCAATGTATAGACCAGATCTAGTTCCTGCAAACCCATGGAGCGAACAAGATGCGCAATCTGCAAAAACAAACGGGAGCTTACCATTGTTACATGGTGTGATACCTTCTCCGCCGCCGATACCCCCTGGTTTTGGACCTATTGCGCCTATACAGGCACCAGCACCGGTAATTCAGGGAAGACCCAGAAACGCATTTCCTTTTGACTTTTGGCCATCTAAGCCTTGGGATACCGAACCGTCCGACGATGCATCGCTCGCTGCGGGAATCTCGGCACGCCCAATATCGAAAGGGATGGATCATCAGGCGTTGTGGCAGTCTACTCATCCTTTCATGTGGCCTCCTCAAGATCAGAAGGATTGGAGAAACGGTCGGTTTCTTGAAGCAGGAGGCCACGGTTTCACTCAACTGTGGTACCAGGTTGACGAGACGAACAGTATCATTCAAGTGAGTTTTTGTAGAATATCTTCTATTCTTGATGAAGACACCTAATACAAATTTGTGGATCTAGCTGACGCACATACCAGAGAATGGTGGTAAAAGAATCGCGACCGCAGCCGCGTTATTGGCGTGATCCTGTCCAATGGCGCGACCAAAAGCCACGTGAAATCTACATGCATCAATTAATCGATGGCAATCGCGAAGCAGGCAGCGGGACCAATCATGAAAATCTCATTGAACATTACGGGTACCGACTGATGATGGAACAGCGCCGCTACCGCGTCTTCCTCAACTATTACGAAGGAGGAGACCTCGAGCAAGCACTTCGAGATCACAGCAAAGCGACAATTTGTAGACTTGAGAGATTGGGTCCAGACGAGCCTGTTCCTTCGGGTTGGGAATGGGACGACACCCACTTGTGCTATCGAGAAAACGGAGAGCTACCCGAAATCATCAGCGAGAGGCTGATATGGAAGATAATTAGCGATATTGTGACAGGGTGCCAGATCCTTCATTACGGGCAGCCTAGCCAGAACGGTGTACAAGTGCTGAAGCCCGAATGGAAGCCGATCACCCACTGTGATCTAAAGCTGGACAATATTTTCATTCTGCCACCGGAGAAAGAACCAAGATTTGGGGAAGATGAATCAGAGGTTAGTGAAGCCCTTTGCCATGAGTTGGTACAAGAAACACCACATTAACGACTACCAGTTTCCTACCTTTGTCATCGGAGATCTAGGCAACGCCTTCACAGCCATGGAACACACGGACCCCCTATCCAGTGAAAACCCCCATGAATACGTCATGAGAATCCGGTTCGAGAGGCTACCTCCCGTAAGTAAAATAGTTTTGCTTTTGCTCACTCCGCTGATTCGTCGCAGGAACTGCAATTCCTCATGATGGGCGATGCAGAAAGACCCGGTCCAGTCCCTATCGCGGAAAAGTCAGATGTGTGGCTAATGTAAGTCTCTCAATTCTCACTCAATCTTTTCCTAAATACTAAGAATACATCGAAAAGCGGTTCTATACTGTATTACCTCCTTTCCAACCTTACCAGGAACGGGCAAGGTCCGTGCCGCTTTGTACCCAACACGGAGTTCGATTACGACTTCTTCGCTGGAAGAAATGGCGATCTAGGCCCCACGCATGACGGTGCTTTGAATCCTTTCCAGCCAAGAGAATGCTTCCAGACTTTTCATCGATACTCGCCGGAGCTGCAACAGCTGGCGGCGAGTTGTTTGACGTGGAAGCCGCATGAGCGCCCGTCGTTGCTGGAGATGAGAACAATGATTGATAGTTTCTTGGCATCTCGTCCAGATGTGGCAGCGGATAGAAGAATCAGGCCGTTAGTAGTTGAGAGAGAAAAGGTGTTCGCAGTTGGGCAGTACTTCCAAAAGCAGTAATGTTAAAGTGTTAGTAGAGGGAACAAACCGTTCAGAATTATGAAGGGTCGCAAAGTCCGGTCCCTTGTTGCAAACATCATTCTAGTAGAACGGGCTTGCGTAAGGTATCTTTTTTTGTTCCACTCTGGTATTGAGAGACTCGTTTTGAAGACTAATTTTTATGCGAGCGAACACTTGCGAAGCCGAGCAGCAGACGGATTGGAATGATCCATACCATGCTTGTGTCGAAAATAAGTAAGATTCATAACTTAAATTATTCACCTCACATTTCGCAACCATTTACATATGTCAATGATTTTGATTTACTGAAGCTATGGATTTCGCAGCACGGTAAAGGATAGAAGACAGCATTCAGATGCTATACCTCGCCCCTTACGCACCATCAAGAGGCATTGATCTCCCCTACGTGAATTTGACTATTATATCTCCCAATGACATAAAACTGAATTATACGCTATGCCTAACACTAAAGATCTTTTCACCATTCCTAAGCCCATTATGTGTTGCAAAATTATCGCCTAGTGATTCTCCAATACCCATCTTGCCTGACATGTGCATCCAAATGGTAAATCTTACAATTCTGCTAATCTTCTATGGCACATTTGCTGGGAAAGGCGCCCCAATCGCGAAGACATCGTCTCTTCTCACATCAAGGATACCCATATCCCGATCATCTCGAACCTCAGGATGCGCATCCAGATGCTCTCGTATCTCCTGTCTTATTTTGGCCAAACTCGGTCGATCATCTGGGTTCCAGTTCAAACACCTGGCGCACAGGTTGCGAAGCGCGGGCGAGTATCTCAGCAGCGTCGCACAGTTTTTCTCATAGAAAATGTCAGTACCGTCATCCTTGCCCACTCTCCCTATATCAAATGCATCGCTGATGTAAACCAGCCAGTTCCCATAAGCGCATTTTGGACCGTCAACCGAGCCCCCCAACCCGTTCGTCAGCAGCCAGAAAAAGACTGCGCCTATCTGCCAGACGTCTGTTCTTTCGCCCAGGGGTCGTGGATTTATTTTTTGGACTTTTTCGAAAGTTTCGGGTGCGTATCTCCCGTCGAATTGGCTGTCTTGAAATACATACTCGTCGGGATTATCAGGAGGCGCCCGCAGTCCAGGTGCAATTCCATCCGCGTCTCTCCTTTCGTGAACAAAGAAGCCTATGCCGTAATCCGAAAGAACGAATGTTGGGAACTCTCCGTATTTCTCGGGAGGTTGTATGAATATGTTATCAGGCTTGATATCGCAGTGTGTGACTCTGTGCGTCCCTTCAGGTGCGACCTCCGAGTCAACTTGGCCAAAGTGTAAGATCTGACACGCAGCAGCCAGTGAGTCTACAATTTCACATATCAGACGTTCAGGTAATACTTGGGGTAAAAGGTCATCCTTTCTGTAACAAAGAAAGTCGAAGTCCCAATTCCATTCTTCCGGTGCAGGGTGTTGCCTTTTCTGTGGTCGTGTGTAACGGTCTTCCAATTCCGGACTGGGAAGATTGCGCAATGCCGCACTGAGATCCCCGCCTTCATAGTAGTTAAGGTAGATGCGGTATCTACGTTGGCGCATCATCAATCGATACCCATAATGTTGAGCGAGATTTCTATGGCCGCCAGTCGTGTTGTCACGGTGCTCATCAACAACTTGATGAATTCGTATTTCTCGCGGTACTTGATCCCGCCACAGAATTGGATCGCGCCAGTGGCCTCTCTTCAATTTTGCTTCCTTGATGACAAATCTCTGTCGAGACATGAATCAGTATATTTTAGTGCATCCAAGGAAGAGACTGACTCACTCGTTCGATCGTATTTGTCGCGCTCACTTGACACCATAGTCCCGCACAACCATAGGCTCCATTTCCAAGCCATTTTGCTCCACGCATATTTGCTTCATCTCGGACCGGCCACTGATGGGGCAGAGCTTGAAGCCAAACGTTGGGATTATTCCCAATTTCTTCAAGCTTCATGGCCTCCGTTCCATCACTGGGATCGGGATCCCAAGGCTCTCGAGGCCAGAAATCATAGGGATAATGATTCCTTGGTCGTGGTGGAGGTAATGGGGGAGCAGCTGGCATTGATGGTATTTGGTTCCCGGCTGCATCGCGTCGCAGTGATAGTACCCGGTTTGCTTTGGCATCAGCTACATCTTGTGGGCTGTATGGATGTGATGGTATTATATCGCGACCTGGCGGTAGACCTGGTAGAGTCTTTCTGTTTTTACGTGCTGTATAATAATTGCGAGTGTCCTGGTCACCAAACCATATCGTTTCTACTGTATCACGTAATTGTACTCCAACATATTAGTGTTGAAGTGGTTTCGATTGCGCCAATACATACTAGGTGTCCAGTGCGGTCTATGAGCATCTTTGAAATCTTGGGCGTCATGTTTAAAGTACGGCTTGGCTGCTTTCCAAGGAGGTCGGCGTGGGTCTCTAGGCGACATGGTCTTGCTAAACAGCTAGGTTCTCACAGAATAATTGGGTTCGAACTTCCATGTAGTATTATGGACTTCTAAATCTTCCAAATCTCGTTTGTCATTGTTCATTGTTCGACCATACTTGAACAAAGAGAGCCGGAAGCGGCCAATTGCCATACCTCTTTAATGCCAGTCATAATTTGAATGGGAGTAAAGGAACAAAGCGTATGTTCTTTGAGGGTCTTATACTTTTACTAAACAATGTGCACTCTCAACACGCTCGTCTAGATCTCGAGTGTAGGTCTTACACTCTTCGAATGGAACATACCCTCCAGTTCCAGTCCATTCGTTCAAGCCAATTGCATTTCATTCTTTGTAGCCCATTTTTCCTGTCGTGTGCCACGAATAATCCCATTTTGAGAATTACTCATTTCGAAGAAGCCCCGAGTGACTCTTCCCATGCAATGTACCGCACCACTTGCGTTGCCATATTCAAATGCGCGCTCTCCTGAATTTCGGTCATAAAATGTATTCTAAATCTCTAAATATGTCTCCTCCAATTGATTTGCTAGTCGCAACCGAGTATCCATGGTGAGGTACCATGATTACAGGAATGCATGCGCCCATAGCCGTTCCGACACCTCGCTTCAAGGCTACAGGAAAGGGTTGCTCCCTGGAACATGTAGAGACTATCTAGTTAAGACTAGTTTCTTCGCGTTTGATGGATAAATTAAACCCATAAAGTGTTTACGGAGGACGCTGGTTGTAGACCCAAATGGAAGGCCGGCTACAAAAAGTTTAATTTAGGATTTTGGGACCCTCGTCACTTCTAAGAAGAAAAGGATATCCCTAATACCTATTTCTAATTCTTGGAAGAAAAGACTTTAGATTTATTAGCTGTGTTGTTAGCTTTCTATAAATTTGGTTGTATTTTTTTCTAGAAATTAAGACGGTACCAAGCTTAGAAGCCATCAGGTTCACTATTGACATCCCAGCGACCGGCCTGCACAATTATGCGCGAATATTTTGAAAGACCCAGAGCACTGTCGCTGGTATTGGCCGTGATTTCTCTATATTCAAATGCCATGGAGATGTTGCTGGCGGGAAGGGAATAAAAAGCCATCAGTCATATATAGCCTCGTGACCAATACAATGAATGTCTCAAAGAACTAATCTAATACACATATAGTAAATCACATTGCAATTTTTATGTATATTCTTTATCTCCAGAAGAGATACTAGGCAAATTGGCGGAATTGAAGCTATTGGTTTAGAAGATTATGTGCGGAGTTTGTGTTGAGACGCCCAAGGCGTAATCCTAAGCCCCCAGACAAGTTGCGACGCCCACTATCCTTCAAAATAGTCGGCAAAGAATGATCACAGCGCGAGAGTACTGATTGCATCTACGGCTGAGTAAATTTGATCGGTCATCAACTCCTTTTCTCCATTCCCTCGGCCTCATCTCGGGGACTTCGCCGTGAATCGGGCAAACTATTTCATTGACAGCCAGCTGAATACAGGGTTTCACACCCTTGACCTTGTATCATATTGAGATGAATATGATAATGTGTCTGCTTATAGGGCAGCTGACCTCGTGCTGCATTTTCACCGACCGAGCAGCCACAGATAACCGAGAATGTCAGCACCAACTTCGAGTTTTCTGGAAACCGCTAGAAAAGCACGCTATCTAGGAGAACCGACCATTTTGTTCGCTCAACTTCGAGTTTTCTGGAAACCGCTAGGAAAGCACGCTATCTAGGAGAACCGACCACGAGGAATCGACTAACAGCACTTTTAACACCTGCAGCTAAGGCGCTAGC